CAATAGGTACCACTCCAGTAAGAAGGTAGCAGCATTGCATGCAGTCATGCTGGCCACATGACCTTGGAGGCGTCTACGGACAACGCCTGCTCTTCGGCTTAGAAATAGAGATGAGCACCACCCCTCAGAGTCGGACATGACTAGATTTAATGTCAGGGCAAACCTTTACCTTTATTTATGGATAGCATTGTGGACTTAGAACCAGTTTGTATATATTCAGTACTGCACTGATCCATACTTATCACTCTGATACCAGATAATCTCACAGATTGCCCTAAAGCAGGAAACCAGATAATCTCACAGTTTACCCCAAACTAAGGCCCGAGGGCCGAGTACAGCCCTCCAAGATCATTTACCTGGCCCTCACTCAGGTCAACCTAAGTCTGAAATGATTTGAAAGCACACAAAAACAACAATTCAATCTCATCAGCCAAAAGCAGGCCCACACTTCCCATTGAAATACTAATAAGTTTATATTTGTTAAAATTGTTCTTCATTTTAATTGTTGTATTGATTTAAGTGTTTTTGCACTACAAATAAGATGCGTGCAGTGTGAATAGAAATTCATTCATTTTTTTTTCAAATTATAGTCCAGTCCTCCAAAAGTTTGAGGGATTTTGACCTGGCCCTCTGTTCAAAAAGTTTGAGGACCCCTGCCCTAAAGGTAGGAAAAGCAGGACTCTCAGAGAAATGGTGATTTAGACCTGGCATCTTGGGCCAGATTAAGCTACTTCCTGAAATCCTCGAAGGGCTCCTTTTCCACCATTTTTCTTGCAATAGGAATCATACAGCTTTGCAAGATGTTGTGGCACTGCAGTTACCAGTCATCAGGGATGAGCTACTTCCCAATAGCACTAGGAAGGCTGTCTGACTCATCCCTGCTTTAGGGAAAGAGGATTCGTTGCTGTTTTGTTTTTGTTTGTGTGCTTGTTTTGTTCTTTTGAGGCATAGCCTCTTTGAAATCCTTCCTTTGCTTCCCCTTCTCTTCCATCTTCAAAGCCACTGCCTGTGGGGTCAGTCAAGGAAACTGTGCTAGATGCTGTCTCCTTGCCTGAGCCTTGTAGAGGGAGGAGGAGGAGTGAATCTTGCAGCAGGGAGCCTATTCTTAGGAAATGGTGCATTGCAGATGTGAAGGGAAATCTGGCGGCCAGGTGGGGGCAGAGAAGGCAGCAGAATGGGGGAAAGGATGGAGTGGATGGAGGCCTTGGATATTTTCACCTCATTTTAGTTTCCGGTAATCAGATCAATCTTATCCCCCTTTTAGTGCTTAATTCATTTTCACCAGTTAGTATGAAAGGAAGGTACAACTCACAACACTATACTGGGTTAATGCTGAAAGGCTAATGGTGTGTAAATAATTAGGCAGACAAAGGTTGGGTTGAACTGGGTTTTTCATTGATGCAAAGGTAATGATCTCCCCAGCTTACTATGGTGCCAAGAAAAACAATGGAAGGGTAAAACCAGGCAAATTGGGGAGGGGGAGAAGTGTTGAGTTATACTCAGAACAGTGTTGCAGAAGTACTTTTGAGTAGATCGCAGTTGAAAAAAAGCTTCTGTTGACATTTCACGGGTGGTAATGGGTAGTCATGCTTGAAATGAATGGGTGGTGAGCATCACATTATGGTATGGTATTGTTGCTCAGAATTTACTGGTGTGTTCTAAGTGATTTGGGCATTTTTCTGCCCCATCTATAAGCTATTGGTGAGGACAAAAGAGAACCAGATGACATTGCGGACAAAAAACAACAGTCCCTCACAGTGTGGAAAATCAAGTAGGATTCTGCATATAAGCCATGATTCATTAGTGTCCACTAGAGCCACCCATCTGGAAGGACATTGGAAGGCTTCCCAGTGTCATCATACTGTAATAGTTCTGAGGTCCTAATCTATTCAGATCCTAATGCAACTAGGTTTGATTATTCTGCTGTCTTCTGGAGTATTGGCTATTCCTCCCAATTTGGTGTCATCAAGTTTGCAGACAACACCAAATTGGGAGGGATAGCCAATACTCCAGAAGACAGAAGCAGAATTCAAAACAATCTGAATAGATTAGAGAGATGATTGGCCAAAACTAACAAAATGAAATTCAACAGTGACAAACGCAAGATACTCCACTTAGGCAGAAAAAAGGAAAAGCAAAGATACAGAATGGGGGACGCGTGGCTCGAGGGCAGTACGTGTGAAAAAGAACTTGGAATCTTTGCAGACAACAAGTTAAACATGAGCCAGCAATGTAATGCTGCAGCTAAAAAAGCCAATGGGTTTTGGCCTGCAGCAATAGGAGTACATTGTCTAGATCCAGTGAAGTCATGCTACCCCTCTATTCTGCCTTTGTTAGACCACACCTGGAATACTGTGTCCAGTTCTGGGCACCACAATTGAAGGGAGATGTTCACAAGCTGGAATGTGTCCAGAGGAGGGTGACTAAAATGATCAAGGGTATGGAGAACAAGCCCTATGAGGAGCGGCTTAAAGATCTGGGCATGTTTAGCCTGCTGAAGAGAAGACTGAGAGGAAACATGATAGCCATGTATAAATATGTGAGAGGAAGTCATAGGGAGGAGGGAGTAAGCTTGTTTTCTGCTGCCCTGGAGACTAGGACGTGGAGCAATGGCTTCAAACTACAGGAAAGGAGATTCCACCTGAACATTAGGAAGAACTTTCTGACTGTGAGAGCTGTTCAGCAGTGGAACTCTCTGCTCTGGAGTGTGGTAGAGGCTCCTTCTTTGGGGGCTTTTAAACAGAGGCTGGATGGCCATCTGTTAGGGGTGCTTTAAACGCGATTTTCCTGCTTCTTGGCAGGGGGTTGGACTGGATGTCCCACGAGGTCTCTTCCAACTCTATGATTCTATGATTCTATCTGCAAGAATGAAACAAAGTGAATTGTACAATATAATGGATTATTACACAAGCATGTTTAAAAGGATATAACAATAAAACCTAGAAGCAATCATAATTCAAATTGAGCCAATACCCATACTTTTGAATGGGTATGTGCAATGATGATTTGAAGGATGTCACTGCACATACCCATTCTGAAGTATGGCAGAGGTCTGAACTAGATAGTCCTTGTGGTCCCTTTTAGCCCTTAAGATTCTTTGATGCATGATATGGTCAGCATATTATAGTACTTTGAATTGTTGGACTATAACTGGCTCAAATCCCTGCTTGGCCATGGAAACCCTCTGGGTGCCCTCTGCCAAGTCACAGCCTCTCAGCCTCAGTGGAAGGCACATCTTCCTAAGAATATCCTGTGATAGGTTTGTCTTAGGGTTGTCGTAATCCGGAAACGATTTGATGAAATGTAGTTTCAAAACCGGTTTTTTAAAGGGAAGGCGACCTTATTTAGCAGCAAAGGGAGGCAACTTTATTTTGCAGAAGTGACATATTTTAACTTAGCAAACTTTTAGTCTGCCCCTCCTTCCTGATGCCTTCTGCCTGAGTCATTCTCTCCCCCTCCCCTTTTATTCTGCTCAGTTTTGTGCGTTCTTTTCCAAAGAATGAGTAATCACTAATTTCTTCTTGCCCTGTAAGGGTTGGTGAGCAGACAGACTCTTCTGGCATACAGACTGTTTGGCTTGGAGTTTGCAAGAGCCACTTATTTTAGGCAAGACAAAATGCCAACACAACTGTTGCATCTGGAAGGAAGGGAGGTTCTTAAGTGTCCTTTGTTTTGCAAGACAAAACAAAACAAAACGACTGTTGTAGATGGGAGGCAGGAAAGAGGATGTGGCCTTATGCCACTTCATGTGCTTCCACAGACAATATTCTTCTCTTTCCACGCTGTCTACAAAAGTGGAGCTTTATCTATCCATTCAGTTCATTGGGGAAGGAGCATAAGTCCATTAGCATTGCAGAGTGAGTGTTGATCTGCATCTGGGATGCACGTTTTGCTAACCAAGGGGCTCATCCAGTGAACCTGTTCTTGTGTTCTCTTTTCACTAGTTTTCTGTGTTCAATGCATTCCTTTTGTGATGCATTTGTTGGCAGTGTACGATAGTGGAGTTGCTTTGAATACTGACTATGGCAAAGACTTTTGTGACCGATTTAATGGCTTGTGGAAAGATGAGTCTTGCTGTCTGGCACAAGAAAATGCCACTGTAGACTAGAAACAGCAGGTTCATGCATAGTTGTGTAGGAAGAAAGAGAATGCTCCCTCTGGCTACTCCAAAATGGATGAAGGTAGATATATCCTTTAGCAAGACGGAGAGGCCAGAGTCATCTCTCAGTGAAGTTTATTCTGGGGCTGGGAGTGCTGCAGTTGCTAAACATAGTTTATGGTTAACTCTTTGCCATCTGTGCCTGGCAGGATGTGTACCACAGGCATCCAATTCAGAGAACGGGAATTATATCTGTATGGCAGAGCTTCCCACCTGTTATTGAAATGTTGGGTGGGTGGGCTTATTAACAAAAAACCCTCATAAATTTATATCAGAGTAACTTACTAGTACCAGTAGCCCAAAGTGATAAAAAGAAGAGAGAGAGAAAAAACAGAGATCAATGTTATCTCTTCCATAGGAGGCTTTTCTTTAGAGCAAAATAATATGTTTGCACTATTTACAAAAACAAGGTTTCCTTAACAGAAATAAAGTTCAACCTTCACACTGGAGCTTCACGCACAAGGCCTCATACCAAGGCCTACTTCACAATCAGGCCTATTCTCCCACTAAGGCAATCTCTCATACAGAGATGCTTCTCTCACACTGAGAGCTCTCTCAGACTGAGGCATTATTAAGCAACAGGCAGTCCTGCTTATATTGAACCGCAGCTTCTCTAAGTCACTGCATCCATTTAACCCTTTCAGTGCTTGACTCACATTTTGGTAACCAAAAATATCTAGTTAATTTTTAATATTTCCGACATGGAACACATTCCGGAGGGTGTTCTGCCTTCCGTACAAGTTTCTCTTGAGTAGCATGTATCTGATTGAACCTTCCAGCACCAGTAAAGAGGAATCATTTTGCTTTAAGAATAATGCCCACCTCCTATTTATCTTGTCAGGTGGGAAGAGGAGTATACCTTGCGGGTTCAGCTTCAAGACCGAGTGGCTGAGCTAAATGAGGTGAGGGTACTTTCAATGTCTTCTGTTTAATTTAATGTTTTAATTATTTATAATTATTGTTGTTATATATTTTACTATGTTGAATTGTAGGCATCAAATATGTGCCGGTTCGAAGCTGCCCTGAGACCCCCCTAAGGGGTTGAGGAGGGCGGGGTAGAAATGCTCGAAATAAACAAACACACAAATAAATAAATTCTGTCTCTGCGTGTCCTGGTCCTTTCTCCCCTATTCTTACCTGTATGTCTGCCTCCCTTTTAGGAAGCTCAAGAGTCAGAGGCTTGTCAGGAAGAACTGGCAATGAAGGTGGAACAACTGAAGGCTGAACTGGTTGTTTTCAAGGGGCTGATGAGTAATGTGAGTACATGTTCTACATCTGTATCCTAATTTTAGTGCCAGAGGGAGAGGGCAGCTGAGTGATTGTAGACTGACATGAGTCATGGAAGATACTCAAGGGCAAGGGTGAGCAAATGTAGGGGGATAGAAGGGCACATTGGTTCCATAACAGACATTCCCACCCCACTGCATAAACACGTACATGCACCCTTGGGGCTGTGAAGGTGTTTAGGCCACTGGGCCAATTTGGGTCCAGATGAATGTCTTATTTTTTTTCAAAACAAGTGATCTAGTTTTGATAAAAAGCTTTTCATGAGCCCAAAATGGCCCAGAAGGCCTCCAAAGCTTGGCAAAAGCATCCTCGTGGCATTTTCCGCAGGCCAACCAGTCAATTTTAAATTATTTTGGGCTGCATCAAAAGGAGTATAGTGTCTAGATTCCACCTTAACATTAGGAAGAACTTCTCCACTGTAAGATCCATCTAGCAGTGGAACTCTCTGCCTCAGAGTGTGGTGGAGGCTCCTTAGCTTTTAAACAGAAATTGGATGGCCACCTTTCTGGGTGCTTTTATTGTGCTTTTCCTACATGGCAGACAGTTGAACTAGATGGCCCCTGTAGTCTCTTCCATCTCTATTATTCTATGATTAAGGTTCTATGAATTTTAAATTTTCATTCTATTTTAATCTTTGTACTATATATTTTATGTTAATATGTTCTAACTGTTGGTGTTGTGGTTACTGTTATTATTATTTGATACATAACAAGATCAGTACACAGCAAACAAGATCATTATGCTAGCTTTTATATTTGATCACACGTCAGACATTTCCCAGTTGTCTAGGACTGTGTGATGTGTTGGCGAATAATGCATGCAGATCCAAGTTGGGTAACCTTTTGCAACTGACAGATGGTAATTTTGTCAGCACTGATTGTTTTTAAGTACTTGCCAAGATCTTTAGGCACTGCACCCAGTGTGCCTATCATCACTGGGAGCACCTTTACTGGCTTGTGCCAGAGTCTTTGCAATTCGATCTTTAAATCCTCGTATTGTGTCAGCTTTTCCAATTGGAAATAATTTTCCAGTTGGAAATAATAATAATAATAATAATAATAATAATAATAATAATGTTGTTGTTGTTGTTGTTATTATTATTATTGTTGTTGTTGCTGTTGTTGGCAGAAAACCGACTTTGGGACAGTGCTGGAATCCAGAGCAGCAGCCCTGGGAGCCACATGTGACCCATAGGTCATACTTCTCTCTGTGCTGCCAGCTCACATTAAACATTGGATATTATCTATTTATTTACATTATTTATATTGTGCCTTTCTCAGCCTGAAGGCGACTGAAGGCGGCTTATAACTTGGCAGCAGTTTGATGCCACAGCAGACATAAAATACAGTTTAAAAACATTTAGCACATAATATAAAACCATACAAAAAACCATTAAAAACATAAATCAGCCGCGTTATCTTACTAAACTCATTTTCCAGTCGCATCATGGTTGTCATGATTTGTTGTTGAGAACTTTACAAGGGCCCTTAGATAATTCCCCCTCCTCTTCTTTCCTCGGTGCCGGAGCAGAACCTCACTGAGCTGGATACCAAAATTCAAGAGAAAGCCATGAAAGTGGACATGGACATCTGTCGGCGTATAGACATTACGGCTAAGCTGTGTGACGTGGCCCAGCAGCGCAACTGTGAGGACATGATCAAAATGTTTCAGGTGAGAGCCTCCAGATGTCCTTCCCACTGGGCAGAAGGGATAGACCGCAAAGCCAAGCTGTGTCCCTCCCAAGGGAAAAGGCCCCGTTGTCGCTGTCACCTCATGTCCTGTGTTCTCCTCCATTTCTGACGGGAGAAGTGGGAAGCCGCTTGTGTTTGAGGACCAGGCTGCACAAGGCCAGCGCTGGGAAGCAGCTACTAGAGAGGGAGACAAGGTGCAGCAAAGTGTGGGTCTCTCTCTCTAACACCGTCTCTCCCCTCTCCTCCCCGCCCCCTTCTCTCTCTCTCTTTGTCTTATTCACTTGCTCACAATCTTGCACTTGCTCTCACTCTTCTTTCTCTTGCTTTCCCTACAGAAGCAGTTGGTTAGTTTTATTTTTCATTGAGCTGGAAAAATATGCAAGTTAGAGGCTTTTCTGTAAAATGGAACTAAACTGTAAATCCTGGCGTTTCTTCTCCCTCTCCTCCTCCTTACGTCCCCCTTGCTCTATCTTCCCGCCTCCATCTCTGACGTATGATTTGAGCTCCCTTGTTGTGAACCCTCATCAGATTCCATCTTTAGCGGCTTAGTTTTTAATTTAAAAATAGAGGTTTCTAAAACTGCATTTTAGTCAACACACCATCTTTAACCTGGTCATAATAAGCCCGTCTTTCTTCTCCCTCCCCCACTTTCTGTCTTTCTCTCCACCCCCTTCTCTTTCTTTCTCTCTTTCTCTGTCTCCATATCATCCCATGTCATCCCATTTCCCCTCACATCTCTTCTCACCCCCACCCACTTCTGGCCTCCAACCCAACCTCGTTCTGTAGTCTCTGCACTTATCTCCCATTAAGGTCCCAAGCACAGTGGGGCGGAAGCGAGAGCGCAAGCTGGTCAGTGATGAAGACACTTCCCTGTCTGAGAGCGAGGCCTCCAAAAAACCGGAAGAGGAAGAGGAGGATGAGACCACAGCCATGAGCATCAATGAGGAGATGCAAAGGATGCTCAACCAGCTGTGAGTGTAGTCTGAGTCATGGGGGGGGGGGGGGAGATAGCAATTAGCCAAGCAACAGATCAAGGTTTTGTTTATTTATTTATTTATTTATTTATTTATTTATTTATTTATTTATTTGCCGTATTTATATTCTGCCCTTTTAACCCTGCAGGGGACTCAGGGCGAACTACAATGCAGATATACATGGCAAACATTCAGTGCCATAGACACACAACATATATAGACAGAGGCTATTTAACATTCCAGCTTTCATGAGGGTATTCTGGCCACCAGGGGAGCTGTCACTTCACCGTCCATTTGTGACACTGACGGAGTACTTCCGCATTCTTTGCATGCTTGCTGGAGATTTTATAGTGTTGTAAATTAGTTAAATTAGGCTCCCCACATAAGCGGTACCTAAATTTCCTACTTGACAGATGCAACTGTCTTTCAGGCTGCAAAGGTCGACAGCAAGCTACACAAATGGTCGGGAGCTCACTCTGACCCAGGCTGGCTTTGAACACATGATCTTTTGGTCAGTAGTGATCTTAATGCAGCTGACTCCCAGCCAGCTGTGCCACAGTCTCGGAGATTTGCAAATCCAGCTTCTATAAAAAAGCCTTAACTGGTTCTCACTGGCACTTCCAGATTTTAATCAAGATGTGATGGGTGTAATTTTGCAAGAGGCAGCATGGAGCCAGTGGCTTGAGTGTTGGACTAGGACTCTGGAAACTAGGGTTCAAATCCCCACTCAGCCATTGAAACCTTCTTGCAGCCTCAGAAGGAGACCAAGGCAAACTTCTCTTGCTAGGAAAGCCATTTGATACAGTTGCCGTTGGGCAACAAGGTTGGGCAAATGGGCTTATTAACAAAAGACCCTCACCATGAATGTATAGCAAAGTAACTTATTAGCAGTGTAACCCAGCACCTGTAGCCAAAAGTGATAAAAAGAACAAAAACACACAGACCAATGTTATCACTTCCATAGGAGGCTTTTCTTTGTGGTAAAATAATATCGTTACACTATAACACAAATAAAGTTCTTTATACATCCTTCGTTGCATCCACACTGTGCTTCTTTCTTAACAGCTTCTCTCTCACAAAGCCTCTTCTCACACAGAATTTACACAGGAGCTCCACACAGTAGCTTTATACATAGCTTTACACATGAGACCTTCAACCTGGATCTTCTCTCACTGGAGCTTCTCTCACTGAAACTTCTCACACCATGCCTTCTCACAGACTAAGGCCTATCTCACATAGAGGTGTCTCTCACAGACTAAGGCCTATCTCACACTGTGACGCCTTCTCCCACAGACTAAGGCCTACCTCACATGGTGAGACTTTCTTACAGACTAAGGCCCACCTCACACTGTGAGGCCTTCTCCCACAGACGAGCAGGCCTTCTCTCACAGATTAAGGTCTACCTCAAATTGTGAGGCCTTTTCACAGACTGAGACCTTACTCCCACTGAGGTTTGCCTCAGACTGCCAGCTACTAAGCTACAAGCACACCTACTTATATAGAACTGTAGCTTTTGCTGAGTGATTGCATCCATTTAACCCTTTCAGTGTTTGACTCACATTTTTGTAATTAAAAATGCCTAGTTAATTTTTAATATATCTAACAAACCATTATTCAGAAATTACCAGCAGGAACACAACAAGAGCACTGTGGGGTTTTTATTGGGGTAGTTGGGTATATAAAGAAGGAACAATTCTATATTTCCTATACGCTTGCTTAGCTTATTGCATGTGCATTTTGAAAACCAGAATTGCATTATTGTGCTTTCCAGTGCCTACATCAGAACATGTACAATCTATATAAATAAAAGTGTAATGTTCGTTTGTGGGATTAACATAACTCAAAAACCATTGGACGAATTGACACCAAATTTGGACACAATACACTTATCAGGCCAACGAGTGACCATCACTCATAAAAACAATGAAAAACACAGCAGAAAGGACTTAAAAAGCAGAAAATAAAATAAAAATACATTCCAACACATGTGCAAAACCACATATATACAAATATATATACACACAAAACACCTATATACAGACTGGGCCACAGCAACGTGTGGCAGGAGATGGCTAGTACATATATAGAAGTGAACCAGCTGCCAGTGGTGCTCTTGGTGGTGGTGATGATAAGATTCCCACCTATTCCAGCCCTTAGACAAGAGAGTCTGGCCATTCCAGACTGAAGGATGCAGGGAAGCTTCCTCTAACTTGATATTTTGAGTTAGCAGTGGGGGATCTTCCCCTGTTCCTAACATGCTTCCCTCCAAGGAAACTCCTACCTGCTGCTCTCTTGTGCTGATACACAGTTTCTTCTTATGTCCCCAGGAGGGAGTATGACTTTGAAGATGACTGTGACAGCCTCACCTGGGAGGAGACGGAGGAAACGCTGCTGCTTTGGGAGGACTTCTCTGGCTACGCAATTGCTGCAGCTGAGGCCCAGGGAGAGGTAACTGGGGAACTCTTTGCCTTCCAATCCTACTTCACCAACTCATTTCTTGAATCTTCCAGTGCACTACTAGGGAGCTTTTTGGCTCACTTATATATTGTTAGTTTCAGTCCCATTATAATTTTGCAAGAAAGAAAGGAAATCATGGTTGGTTAACCACCTTACAGATAAGAACTCAGTGCATTTACTCTGTAGAATACAGCTTGACATCATTTTAACTGTCATGGATCAATGCTGTCCAATCATGAGAGTTGTAGTTTTATAACATATTTAGCATTTTTTCCTAAATAATACTGGCGCTTCACCAAACTTCAATCCCCAACATCCCACAGCATTGAAACATAGCAGTTAAAGTCATTAATTCTACAGTGTAGAATCACTCTCAGTGACCAAAGAATAAAATAGTTCTTTCATGGAATCGTTTGAAGACAGAGAGCAGGGAAGGGAAGAGGAAAACAATGTATAAGTCTATAGTGATCAACATTGTATGTGAATGTGTTGTCGAAGGCTTTCATGATCAGAATCATGGGGTTGCTGTGAGTTTTCCAGGCTGTATGGCCATATTCCAGAAGTATTTTCTCCTGACATTTCACCCAAATGTATTGCAGGCATCCTCAGAGGTTGTGAAGTATGTTGCAAAGTAGGCAAGTGAGGTTTATATATCTGTGGAATGTCCAGGATGGGAGAAAGAACTCTTGTCTGTTGGAGGCAAGTGTGAATGTTGCAAATGGCCACCTTGATTAGCATTGACTAGCCTAGCAGCTTCAAAGCCTGACTGTTTCCTGCCTGGGGGAGTCTTTGTTGGGAGGTGTTAGCTGGCCCTGACTGATTCCTGTCTGGAATTCCACTGTTTTCTCCGTATTGTCCTTTATTTCCTGATTTTAGAGTTTTTAATAATTGGTAGTAAGATTTTGTGCATAAAACCACAGGGAACACAAAAGGTAGCGCAGGCTAATTCAACCAGAGAAGTCAGCCATAGCAGAACACTTGATGAACCAACCTGGACACAGCATATTATTTGAGAACACAGAAATGCTGGACCACTCAGACAACCACCATGTCAGACTACACAGAAAAGCCACTGAAATCCAGAAGCATGTGGACAATTTCAATAGGAAGAAGGAAACCATGAATATGAACAAAATCTGGCTACCAGTATTAAAAACTCTAAAATCAGCACAGTAATTAAAGAACAACACTCGGTAAAAAAGGGAAATTCCAGACAAGAAACAATCAGGGCCAGCTGACACCTCCCAACAAAGGATTCCCCAGGCAGGAATCATCCAGGCTTTGAAGCTGCAACGCTGTTCAGTGCTAATCAAGGTGGCCAATTGCAACATTCACACTTGCCTCAAACAGACAAGAGTTCTTTCTCCCACTCTGGACATTCCACAGATATATATATAAACCTCACTTGCCTAGTTTCCAACAAATCTCACAATCTCTGAGGATGTCTGCCATAGATGTGGGTGAAATGTCAGGAGAGAATGCTTCTGGAACATGTCCATACTGTCCGAAAAACTCACAGCAATCCATTGTATATGATTGTTTGAAGGGCCTCTCATGCATTTCCACTTTAAAGTAAATTGCTAATTCTTACATCACATGTTTGGGGCAGCAACATACTAAAGTGAGGCTTCTCTAAATAATGTACACATTTGTGTGGAGAAGGAACAACAAACCCCCATGAATGTGGAAAAAAAATGAATATCTCCAGGGGTGAGGCATGGCAAGTGCAGGGGTGGTGGTGGTACTGCTTTGCTTCCCCATAGTAATGGAGAGTAGAGTAGCAATGATTTCAATTGCCATCCTCTCCCGCCCACCAAAGTCTACTAGTTTGTAGACTTTTAGGGCGAGGGGAGATGAGTGGCATAGAAGCAATTTCAGTCCCCAACACACTTCCCTAAAATCTACAAACCAGTTCTGATGGTTGCTGCGCTGCTCCATGAAGCTTCTGGGAGCAGAATGCCACACATTGGCTTTGGGCTTTGGAGGCGGGTGGCAAGCCCACAAATAATCAAATTTGTGAATGTAAAACCCACAAATGTGGAGGGACGACTGTAGTTGAGGCAGAATCCAAGACAGAAATGCCCTGAGTTGTATTTTTAGCTATGCAGCAATGTTCAACTAAATTAAGGCTGCACGTTGGGTGAATATGCTCTAAAGAAGGTTTTCAAAACAGGCTCTTCCCTTTCCTGCTCTATCCTTCTGTAACCTTTAGTTCTAACAAATGATGCCTGTCCTTCTTCCCTCTTTTTGGGGCACCTCTGCTTTCCCTGACAGCAGTCGGATGACAGTTTGGAGAAGGTGATCAAGGATACTGAGTCACTCTTCAAGAGCAGAGAGAAGGAATATCAAGAAACCATCGGCCAAATTGAGGTGGGAGAAGTGACATAAGGGAATAGAGAGAGACATGTGTGTGTGTGTGTGTGTGTGAGAGAGAGAGAGAGAGAGAAGGGTACAGAGCAAGGAAAGATGGGGTTTTAGACTTACTACTTAGTATTCATGGTGCCGGAATGAATGAATGTGTGAGTGGTACCAACTACTACCTCATGAACGAATGGGCCCATTTTAATTGACTGCAGGTTGTTTTTGTTTGTTTGTTTTCTGCTGCCCTAGGACGCGGAACAATGGCTCCAAACTACAGGAAAAAGATTTCCACCTGAACATTAGGAAGAACTTCCTAACTGTGAGAGCTGTTCCACAGTGGAACTCTCTGCCCCGGAGTGTGATGGAGGCTCCTTCTTTGGAGGCTTTTAAACAGAAGCTGGATAGCCAACTGTTGGGGGTGCTTTGAACATGATTTTCCTGCTTCTTGGCAGGGGGTTGGAGTGGATGGCCCATGAGGTCTCTTCCAGCTCTATGATTCTATGATTCTTTAGTCAATTGTGATAATAAATAATAATAACGATAAAACTTTATTTATATACCGCCCTATCTCCCCAAGGGAACTCAGAGTGGTTTCCACATATGCAAAATAATATATTGTATGCAAAAAGCATACAATATAAAACAGAAACATAAGCATAAACTGTTAACACACCATATACATTAACATCAATTTAAAACCAGTTCCACTCTCTTCTAAGTCCAACTAATTCCATTGTAGGTCACTTTTTCACACAAATTGCTAACTCTTAAAGCTTTGAGGAACTGAAAGTTCAGTGACTCCTGAAGGGCTACCCAATTCTGACATCTGCACTAGTGTGTGACAGTAATAGAACCATAGAGTTGGAAGAGACCACAAAGGCCACCCAGTCCACCCCACTTCCATGCAAGAAAACCCAAAGTATCCCTAACAGATGGCCATTCAGCCTCTGTTTAAAAGCCTCCAAAGAAGGAGTTTCCACCACACACCGAGGCAGAAAGTTCCACTGCTGATAAGCTCTTACGGTCAGGAATTTCTTTCTAATGTTCAGGTGGAATCTCCTTTCCTGTAACTTGAACCCATTGCTCCAAGTCCTAGTCTCCAGGGCAGCAGAAAGCAAGCTTGCCTCCCTCCTCAATGTGACATACTTTCAAATATTTCAGCATGGCTGTCATGTCCCCTATCAGCCGCCTTTTCTCCAAGCTAAACATATCCAGCTCCTTCAACCATTCCTCATAGGGCTTGGCTTCCAAACCTTTGATTATTTCGGTTGCTCTTCTCTGAACACATTCCAGCTTGTCAACATCCCTCTTGAATTGTAGTGCCCAGAATTGGGCACAGTATTCCATATGAAGTCGTGTTATGAATAACTTTAAAGCATAGGTTTATTTTATTGCAATTTTCCAGTAAGAGAAATGGCATCAGAACTTTTACAGAACAACAAGAACTACATTGGACATACAGACATGCAGATTCTATGTAACTACATTGGATTCACAAACCTATGGTTATATTGGCTAACAAACAGACAAAGGGGAATTACATTTTCACTCTGCATTCACCTTCATGCATACATCACCATTTCACCATTCTTTCTCCGTGAAGAACATCTCTTAGGGCAGGCTACTTCCTTGAAAATCTGTCAACACATAGTTCCAAAACTTCTAAACCTCAAAACACCAAAATATATCCTTTTCCTTTTTTTAAGAATGATTCCAAGAATCAGATCCCTGTTTTCCATAGAGTAGAAACTGACTTCCCTGCACAAAATCCAACACTCCAAAATTGCACTCCATTCTCTTCCCTTGAGAAAAGGAGGCACACACAATTTCTTTCCATAGAGCATGGCGAGTTAACAGGTCTGCTGTCACAATTTTTGGAATGTTAGAAGATCTCTTATATAGAAATATTTCCTCTGATGTTGTCCCAAAGTTGTAAATTACTGATAGGTTGTTTGTCCGGCCTGAAACATGTCGATTCCATCTCAGTGTCCTGGCAGATGTTGACTTTTTGTAATTGGTGTTGATAAACCCAAGGAGCTCTGTATCGACTTCCTTCTTAACATCCTTAACTTAAAAGAGCAACTGTCTCTGATTAATGTAAACATGTCGTTTTCCCACAAAAGTTCATCAAGTTAATAATTTCCTTCAGTTCTTATCAATGTCAGCAGTTGAGCACTTTTAATTACAGTTCAGCAAGCAGGCAGTTAGTCATTGCAGGCCTTAACATTTTTGAATGGTATACTGTATTCAGCCAAATATTAGCTCTCATTCATTCCTTCCTTTCATACAATTCCATTCAAACCATATATCATATTTCACAGTGACAGTTCGACCAAAGCAGAATAGAGGACTGTAAGCTTCATCCCACCATATATCAAAACATCATGGTGGGATTGGCAAATTGTTTGCTCAGAGCAGACCAAGACAGGAGTAGGTGATGATCTTGGTGGGAAAGTTTGAATATGGCCAGTAGGATCACTCTTTCTGTCACTCTTTTTTGACCCAGCTGGAGTTGGCAACGGCAAAGAATGACATGAACCGACATCTTCACGAGTACATGGAGATGTGTAGCATGAAGCGTGGACTGGACGTGCAGATGGAGACCTGTCGCCGGCTCATCACACAGTCTGGAGATAGGTGAGTGCCTGGGGGGTGGGGATAGGGAAGGACTGGCAGTGTGGTTCTTCGAGCATTGGGGAAATAAATCTTTGGGGTCAGCAGAGAGGAGTAAAGGGCTGGCCTTAGGGACTTGTGGGTCTCCTTTGTGGGAGGAGTATTGCATCAGAGTGGGTGGCAAATTTAGACTGGATTCCGAGTGATTGGCTGTAACCCCCCCTTGCAGACTCGCGGGAGTTGTGTTTCGTGCCATGTGTCTCTAGAACGTGATGCAGTTTTGAGAGATGTGATCGCGGTTGAAAGAGAACCTCCATCCTCCGGACAAAAGAAGCATCGCTGACCTGCTGGGCTTTTGCACTAGCTTATGGGACCATGAATTCAGTGCAGCACTGGGCTGGGTGGATGTTTACCCTGCCCCGCTCCTCATCCTCATGCGACCCCAGGCTTGGCCAGATCCAGACATTCCCTTTGCCCTCTGAAACTGTCTCTGTGCCCATCAACAGGCTTTCAGTGTAGCTTCCAAGAGATCCTTGCTACCTTCCAGCAGTGTTCTGCTATAGGTTGCTCAGTGTAGTTTCTTAAGCCCTCTGGTTTCTCTGCCCTGTGAGCCTTGTGTCTCCCCTTCCTGATGGATGCCTCCCCGTCCAACAGACCTAGTGCCCATGTGACCCCCCGCCCTCTTTTTCTTTCAGAAAATCTCCTGCTTTCACTCCGGTACCGAACAGTGAATCGGCCCCAAACGAGGAAGCGGAGGCGTCCAATCACAACCTCCCAAATGATGCCTCCATAAGATAATGAGGGAGGTCCTGCCCAATCTACATCTCCCGCCTCCTGGTCCAGGAGTGGGCATGTGGCTGTGAGGAGCCCACATCCCAGCTATGGCCATGCGGGGCAGAAGGGGACAAAGAGCCACTGCAGGCGTTTTGCCATGCCAAATCCCTCCACCCTTGGAGGTGGAGCTAGGGAAAGAGGCCCAGGGGAACCTTCTCTCCCGGGACTTCTTTTTTCTCTCTCTCTCTTTCCTTGCCTCCCAGGTCTTTACCTCCCACCTCCCCCATACTTTTTTATGGGATGGGATTTAGTGGGGAGACTCCCGCCTTATTGTAGCTGCTCCTCCCTAGGGTTTGCCTTACGATGCTCCCAACCCATTGTGGCTTCCTCGTAGATGTAACTCCTCCCCACACTGCCTACCTACGTGCAGAACTGGAACGGATTACCTCTGCAAAACTTGAACCTTCTCTCGGTGCCAATTGGGCTTGAAGGCTGGACTCTGTGATTTCTGCCTGCTTCTTAGAGGACTTGTGCAAATGCTCCCCGCCCAGGCCACATCGTACACACCACTGAGAGAGCCTCTCCTTGTGGGGAAGAAGAACAAGCTGACCATTTCCTACACCTCAGCTGTCTCCCCGCATTTTGCTTAGTTGTGCACTTAAGTCACAGAAAAGTCCTATGTGATGTGCTATGTCTGGAAATGAGAACATTAAAGAGAAAAAATCCTTTTGTACAGCTATTGTGTATGTGTGTATGTACAGGGGTGTCTTGTTGGCCTGCTGGCAAAGATTGTGTCCTAAGCCGGAAACTATATGGAGCACAACATTTTCAACTTTTTAGATCTGTGCAGAGTTGTTATGAATAACTTTCCCACATTGGAAAAGAATATCCCACTTCTGACACCAATTATGTCATAAGTACTTTTCAACGACTTTAAAGCATAGGTTCTTTTTATTGCAATTTCCAATGTGAGAGGTTATGTCAGATTACAGAAAAACATTTCGACCAGTGCTTCTCAACCTGGGGTCCCCAGGTGTTTTTGGCCTTCAACTCCCAGAAATCCTAACAGCTGGTGATCTGGCTGGGATTTCTGGGAATTGTAGGCCAACAACATCTGGGGACCCCAGGTTGAGAACCACTGATTTAGACATATAGACATACAGATTCCATGCAACTATATTGGATGTACAACAACTTACATTGGATTAACAAACAGACAGGGGAATTACATTTTCAGTCAGCAGTTATACCACATGTACATACATTCATCCTCAGGCATTCAAATATTACCATATCATTTTCTCCCTCCTTGGAGAAGCCTCTGTTAGGCCAGACCCTGCTTCCCTGCAGCCTGCCAATGCGTATTTCCATAATGCCAAAACTTCAAGACGCCGAAATGCCAAAACTTCTTTCCCTAAGAACAATGCCAAGGACCAGATCTCTGTTTTTCATACAGCAGAACCTGTCTCCCTGCACAGAATCTAAGAATCGAGAAGCACTTCTTCCTTTTCCCTTGAGAAAGAAGCCCCAAAGTGACCAGACTGCTCCCTTGCCAATCTGCCACTCCATAGTACACTACCTCCCTCCTTCACATGGAGCAGAGCATAGCGGGTGGAACAGACACATCAGGTCTGCCACACTGTGAGCATTATTAGATCGAGTCTTTTATAGGAATATTCTGCTGATGTAGCCCCAAAGTTGTTAATTAATGATAGATGTCTTCCATCCTCGATCCATCTCAGTTTCCTGGCCAGATGTTGATTCTTCYTGATTGGTGTTGATCTTATGTTGACTTCCTTCTTAACATTGTAAACATTTCTGTTATCACTGCCCCAATCCTTATTTTTTATTTATTTATTAATCAATTTTATATACTGCCACTCCCTGAAGGCTYGGAGCGGTTTACAGTATACATATGCAATACATTACATTTAAAATCAAAGAAAATTTTCAATCAACAAGATTCAAATGCCAGCCTAAATAAATAAGTTTTACAAGCTCTAYRAAAAGATAGTAAGTCTCRRAGAGCTMRTGTTTCYGCYGGCAAGGCMTTCCACAGGTAAGGAGYCACCACCGTGAATGCTSTACRCCTAGTAGACATCARGTRAAAGGTCCTAAAATTGGGAACTTCAAGGARATTCTGATCRTCTSAACRGAGTGATCTYGGGGGTTGGTAGGGGRTRAKGCGRTYCCTCMGGTACYCYRGCCCCAGRCCATWTAAGRCCTTAAARGTAAGAATCAGCACTTTGAAGGTAATCCGGTGCTCARTCGGCAACCAGTGCAGTTGCTGCAAGATTGGAGTGATATGACACCTCGCTGGAACCCCTGCGAGAAGTCCACAAYCATKATCAGAGTTTACTTTTCAGATCTCATTAGCAACTTTTAATTACAGTCCAGCAAGCAGGTAGTTAGTTATCACATGCCTTAATATTTTACTGGTGCTCCCAAAATTATTGACTGCATCCATACATCCTCCCATTCTTCCAGTCATTCCCACACATCATTAAATCCACATTTATCAAATCTGCAATGATATTTTCGTGACGGAGTTGTGAAATCATAGCAAGACGCTCTAACGTTTAGGAAAAAAACTCTAGGTAAATGGACAGTGAAGTGGAAAATGCATCTCTCTGTAAGGAAGTATAATTTTGGGATTAGAGAAGCATTTCTCAACCTAGGAGTCAGGACCCTGGGGAGGAGGTCACAAGGGGGGCGTCAGAGGGGTTGCCAAATACCATCAGACATATTTCTTTGTAAGTTAGAGCATGGATCTTCCACTATTCCAATTATGTCATCCGCATAGGCCCTTACTTTATATTCTTGTTTCCCAGTTTCTGTCCCTTTTACATGCTTATCTTCCCTAATACTCCTTAACAGGATTTCCAGACCCTGCCGTGTGCCTTTACTTACATTAAATTCTTCTAATATTTGACCATTAATTAAGATTTTAGCTTTTTGATTTTCATATATGGCATTGATTGCATAATAAATAAATAAATAAATAAATAAAAGGATTAGAATGGAAGTCAACAGAGATCCCCTTCACTTTTTTTTCTTTTTCTTCTTTTTCTTCTTTCCTCCTATCTTATATTCTTATCTTCTATTTTATATAAACTTATGGTTAAACTTGAATATATATATATATTTAAATATATTCTTAGGAACCCCTTTGGCATAGAACGTCTGTCTTCCTCTTCCTTTTTGGAAACAGAGGGTGAATCCTCCCACCAAAAGCCCTCCTCCACTGTGATTGGCCGACCTCTCAGCCAAGGGGAGGGCTGTTTCTGAAATTCCAAAAGGGGAAAGGAGAGAAGGCATGCTCAGCGCATGGCAGCATGGTGTGCATGTGTAGGCAAGGGAGAGCTTGCAAGACTGGAGGGAGGCTCATGCCAGCAAGTCCCTTCAAGACATGGGGGTTCTGTGTGGGAAGTTTGGCCCAATTCTATCATTGGTGGGGTTCAGAATGCTATTTGAGTGTAGGTGAACTATAAATTCCAGCAACTACAACTCCCAAATGTCCACCAGTGTTCACATTTGGTCATATTGAGTGTTTCTGCCAAGTTTGGTCCAGACCCATCATTGTTTGAGTCCACAGTGCTCTCTGGATGTAGGTAAATTACAACTCCCAAAACTCAAGGTCAATGCCCACCAAACCCTTCCAGTATTTTCTGTTGGTCAAGTTTGGTTCAATTCCATCGTTGGTGGAGTTCAGAATGCTCTTTGATTATAGGTTAACTATAAATCCCAGCAACTACAACTCCCAAATGACAAAATCAACTCTCCCCCAACCCCACCCGTATTCAAATTTGGCCTATCGGGTACTTGTGCCAAATTTGGTTCAGTGAATGAAAATACATCCTGCATATCAGATATTTCCATTACAATTCATAACAGGAGCAAAATTACAGTTTTGAAGTAGCAACAAAAATAATTTTATGGTTAGGGGTCACCACAACATGAGGAACTGTATTAAGTGGAGACGGCATTAGGAAGATTGAGAAACACTGTTCTAGACCTAAGATCTGAAGTTCTGTTCTATACCAGGAGCCCCTGGTGGTACAGTGGGTTAAACTGCTGAACCGCTAAACTTGTTGACCAAAAGGTCACCGGTTCGAATGTGGGGAGCGGGGTGAGCTCCCACTATCAGCCCCAGTTTCTGCCAACCTAGCAGTTTGAAAACATGCAAATGTGAGTAGATCAATAACTACCGCTCCAGCGGGAAGGTAACAGTGCGCCATGCAGTCATGCCGGCCACATGACCTTGGAGGTGTCTACGGACAATGCTGGCTCTTCGGCTTAGAAATGGAGATGAGCACCAACCCCCAGAGTTGGACACGACTGGACTTAATGCCTTTACCTTTACCTACTACCGGCCTGACAGTTCTTGATCTTATCACTGTCCTCCTCTTAAAATACCCAGTCTCATTCATTGAGGTGATCTTCATAGTGCATACAGTATTTCCACACCATCATCAAGCCAAGGCACACAAAACAAGTTATTTGTGTTGCTCAAAAGTCACTTCATGGATTCTGTGGGCAGCAACATGCAACTGCCATATTAGTTGGGAGCTGTGGCTCATTGCCGTGACTGCAGCACCCTCTCGAGGTGAGATCCAATATTTTGTTTTAAAGTACCTTGTGAAAAGTTTCCTATATATCTGGAAATGTGAAGAGCAGAAGAGCAGCAGAACCTGCTATTTCTAAAGATTCTTTCCATCTTAACATGGCATTGCTTCAGATTTCCAAATGAACACATCATTTTCTGACTTAACTTAAGCTTAAATGTACTGCCAAGAAGCAGCTCCCTCAAGCATGTTTGGGCCAAAGTTATATTCTTCCACATTGCAGCCTTTAAAGAACACTGGAGCAGAGTTTCTCAACCTGGAGGTCAGGGCCCCTGGGAGGGTCACAAGGGGGGGGGGTCAGAGGGGTCGCCAAAGATCATCAGAAAACACAGTATTTTCTATTGGTCATGGGGGTTCTGTGTGGGAATTTTGGTCCAATTCTATTGTTGGTCGGGTTCAGAATGCTCTTTGTAGGTGAACTATAAATCCCAGCAACTACAACTCCTAAATTGCAAGGTCTATTTCCCCCAAACTCCACCAGTATTCACATTTGAGCATGTTGAGTATTCGTGCCAAGTTTGGTCCAGATCCATCATTGTTTGAGTCCACAGTGCTCTCTGGATGTAAATGAACTACAACTCCAAAATTCAAGGTCAATGCCCACCAAACCCTTCCAGTATTTTCTGTTGGTCATGGGAGTTCTGTGTGTGAAGTTTGGTTCAATTCCATCATTGGTGGAGTTCGGAATGCTCTTTGATTGTAGGTGAACTATAAATCCCAGCAACTACAACTCCCAAATGACAAAATCAACCCCCACCTAACCCCATCATTATTCAAATTTGGATGTTATCGGGTATTTGCGCCAAATGAAGTGAATAAAAATACATCCTGCATATCAGATATTTACATTACGATTCATAACAGTAGCGACATTACAATTATGAAGTAGCGACAAAATTAATGTTATGGTTGGGGGTCACCACATGAGGAACTGTATTAAGAGGTCACGGCATTAGGAAGGTTGAGAACCACTGCCCTGGAGGTATTCACATTTTTTTCCTTTTCCACTGCAGAGAAGTCTGTGGTCTGCTGGCTCTGTGGCTATTTATAAAGCACATGAAATCAATAACAGGCTTTTAGAAAATGTTATCGGTTGGCGGTACCACATTATCTGTCACAACAGCAACAGGCAAAGGAATTGCAGTGGGGGAAAGGAGCCTTTCTTGTCCTTAAATACATGCCATGTATCTGGTAGTGTTTTATAGTATTCAGAAGAAAATGTCCATGTGTCCTTTCCCATCAAAAAAGATGTTTGTTGTGGTAAGTGGCTTTTCCCAGTCACAAATAGCTCCAGATCAAAACTGCGCTTGGGACTGCATCTGGTTAATAAAAGAGATGGAAACTGTAGCAAGATGTTCAGCTGCTCAGAGTCCAATAATACTAGGATTGAACCCATGCATGTGGGATTCACATATACTTTCTACTAGAGGCATTGATGCAAGGAAACGGAGGCATAGCTTTAAAAAAGGCTATGTGCACAGCTCATGGGACATATGTCCAGTGCATAGCCATGGTGTCTTGTCACACCTTACTGGACTCCACTTGTTCATTCCTTTACATGCCTTATAAAATAACAGAAACAGAAGTCCACATATTGTGGTGTAATGAAAATCACATGTAGTTGACGTTTTACCAGTCCACACACTGTCTTGCGAGAGAAAGAAAATATGCCACACAGATTATCAGTAAAGAACAAGTAGTTTATTCTTTGTAATGCAGAGCAACATAGATACAATCATGTAAACAGTTGCATTGACTCACATAATGTCCGGTGATAGTATGATAGCTGGGTCCAGAAGCTCCGAGCATTACGCAGATTCTGTAACAGCGGTTGTGAATAAGGGAAGGGGAGAGCGGCACAGTGAGGATGGGAATATACTTCGTAGATGCATTTGGTGGAAGGATAGAAAGGAGGGGAGGGTTAGGATAAGGTTTAGGGTAAGGTTTAGGGTTTGGGTTAGGATTAGAGTTAAGGGTTAGTCTTAGGTTTAAGATAAGTTTTAGGATAAGGGTAAGGGTTCAAGTTTTATAGTTGAAAGAACTCTTACATTCCTTCTATAATATTGATGTTCCATTCTGCGTTGCACAAACAGCGCTCCCCAAAGAGTGAAGCAGAAACAACATAACGCTCAGAGCTTCCAGATGCAGCTTTCATACTATTACCTAATGTCCTTTGAGAGAGATTCAAAAGGTCTTTATGTGTCCATGTGGAAGATCTCCTTCCAGCAGCTCATGAAGCAAGAAATGTCTCTGTAAGCATCTGCACAGCTCAAGGCCCAAATATGCAACTGTTGCCAAAACTCCCAGGCTCAGCTAGCTCCCTGGACATGGCCCAATCAATCAGCTTCATGTTTTGCATTTTCAGTAACCAACCAACTGATTTTTTTTTTTACATTCTCCCTCACATATAGTTCCTTCAACCCTGTTAAATTTCAATAGTGATGAGAAAGACTATGCTCAAATGACCATGCTCAAATTGGGGCCTTACATGCCACAGCTGTCATCAGTTATTAAAGAAGTCAAAAGGACCAGTGTGTGTTCAATGACATTGATACCCAGGGCGTCTGCTTATGGTAACAGCTGCTACTTGACTACTTCCCATGGGGAAAGAAAAGCAAACTTATGATTGTTTCCAGAGTCTAGCAAAAACTACAGAGCACATAAGATTTCTGCTCTTTCTGCATTTTTTTACTTGTTGGCTACCAACAAGTCAATGCTATTTTCTCTTTGCTTTCATATGCATGTATTACATACAATGTTAAAGAGAAAATGTGTATCGTTTACACAAACTCATGTTTATTAATAATTTTAATAAACTCTTCTTAATTTGCAGTCTATCCAGATTTATTGCCACAGCTATCAATTAGCTGAGATTGCAAATTTGAATATACTACAGCTTAGTAAGCAGTTATTAAAATAATTCCATGGGAATTCACATCACCAGGATCCTTTTGCTAGACACCTTGTCTTTGAAACAGGAATTGCTGTTCAGCAGCACAGGGAGAATGGCAGCTGCCAATAATTCTTGCCAGTGGCTGCATTATACTAGCTAGTCCTGATGGGAGTTCCCGTTCAAAAACATTGGGCTCTTTCACATTGTATTTCATTTCCAAGATGCACTTTTCCCCCTATATAAATATCTCTAAAAATGGGGTGTCTTAGAATCGTAGGTTGTTGGTGGTATTGAAATGAGGGTGCATCTTACAATAGATGACATCTTACAATTGAAGAAATAGTGTTATTCCCCTTTTAACTGCTGATGGCTACATCTAATAAGGTAAAGGTTTCCCCTAACATTAAGTCTAGTCAAGTGCTCATCTCAATTCCTAAGCTGTTAGTAGGCACATTCTTAGGCAAGGAATATAGCCTACAGCATTTAGCATTTATTGGCGGTCTACCATCCAAATACTAATCAGAGCTGACCCTGCTTAGCTTTCAAGATCAGCAGGAATATTTATTTATTTGTTTCCGACATTTATATGCCACCCTTCTCACCCCGAAGCGGACTCAGAGCAGCTTACAATATGTAAATACAATATATTATATTATCACCATAGTACAATATTAGTATTTTATATTACTATATTGTACTATACCATTATACTGTAATATTATTAGTAATATTACATGTAATATAAAAATATAATTATAATATCGTATTATTACTAGTATTATATTGTATTACATTATAATATTATCAACATTATATGTATATACAATGTACGTATTATATTATTAGCATGGTACAGGAGACAAGATGGCACTGTCTTCCTGGCCCCTCTCTTCACTCTGGTGAAGATATGGTCTTTGGGGGTTTAGTAAGGTAAAGGTTTCCCCTTGACTTTAAGTCTAGTTGTGTCTGACTCTTAGGGGGGGGGGGTGCTCATCTCAATTTCTAAATTGTTGTAAACACCTCCAAGGTCATGTGACCTGCATGACTGCATGGAGCACCATTGCCTTCCCGCTGAAGCAGTACCTATTGATCTACTCACATTTGCATGTTTTCAAACTGCTAGGTTGACAGAAGCTGGGGCTAGCAACGGGAGCTCACCCCATCCCATTGATTCGAATCACCGCTCCAGTATGCAAGTTGTGTAGCTTAGTGGTTTAACCCGCTACACCACCATGTAATAGAACCCATGTTTTTGTAGTTTGCAGAGGAAAGGTTTAGAAAGCCAGAGGGCCCAAATGCCTTGTCAGATTACACTTCAGGATTCCACAGGATGCAGACAGGTAAAAGTGAGCTCCCAGTCCTATCTGTATAGAGCAAAAGGATCTCAGATAGGCCACATGGTTCCCTCCTTCAACTAAATTATGTAGCTAAAGGCAATTTGAAACTTTGGGGTGGTGAGACCTCCCTTCCCTCCCTCTTTGCCCCAAAACAACACTATTGGGACAGAGGGCCTTGAACAGAATGTACTCTAAAGCATTAGGTAAAGGTGAAGGTTTTCCCTTGTCATTAAGACCAGTCATGTCTGACTGTGGGGGTTGGCGCTCATCTCAGTTTCTAAGTCGAAGAGCTAGCATTGTCCATAGACACCTCCAAGGTCATATGGCTGGCATGACTGCATGGAGCGGTTACCTTCCCACCAGAGCGGTACCTATTGATCTACTCACATTTGCATGTCTAAAGCATTATATTTTATTAATTACCAGAGTGCGGCCTCACTGTCTCAGAAATGAAAATCCCAGATTAATTTTCAGACCTTACACAGCAGTGCAAATGTGGCAGAAAAGTGCATATTAAACGTTGCCGCTATTACGTATGCTATAACAGAGTAACTTCATACAGAAGTGGTCACGGTGCTTGCAGAAAGTGTGTGAGAGTGAGAACTAGGACTATCCTCATAACTGTTTTGGGAAAGTGGCTTTGGTCTTCACACCCTCACTTTCCCCGCACCAAAAAGCAAGACAGAAAATACATGAAATAGTGATGACTTTTATTGAGAGGGGAGGTGTTAGTGAAACGCAAGTTTCTTCCGGCCTCTCCACTTCCTCAGAGGCAGATGGAACACTGGGAGCCTCTAACTGCAAATTATACAGAGCCGAGATGACAAAGTGGCCGCTCGTCTTTACTCCTTGGATGCCATGTGGACTATCAAGTCTACAACGCGGTTGCTGTATCCAAATTCATTGTCATACCTGGAAGAGATATCAAAGTTGTTGACAAATGATAAGATGGCAGGAATGTAGCACCACCATCTCAAGATATAGTTGCCCTCTCAAAATTACTCAAGCTACCAAATGACCAGCATCACCCTACTGAAACATCAGCAACTTCCCTGTTTGTCTAGCAATCTAGAAAAGTGTTTTATTTATTTATTTACAACATTTATATCCCCCCCCCTTCTCCCCCAAAGGGGAGTCAGAGTGGCTTACAAGTTAAACAATATTAGTATTATATATTACTACTAGTCATCCCCTCCCACGCAATGCTGTGGCCCAGGTCTGGTGATCTAGAAAATAAAGCAATGAGAAAGTGTTCATTTCTAATATATGTAATTTCTTTCTGCTTGTGGGTAAACAGTATTTCTTGCTGTTTCTTTGTCAGTGTTGATGTGGAGATTGTCTGGCTGGCCTACTCTGGAACATGCAACATATAATTATCCTTGTTCAGGCATCCCTTTCAAATCTATGATACGATATTTGTGTGTGTGAATCATATATTTCAATCTAAATCTGTAGCTGGGTGGCGCTTTGTCAGGAAGGCTTTAATTACGTTTTCTTGCCCTGGTGAAGGGAATTGGATTGGATGGCCTTAAGTATTTTCTGTTGGTCATGGGGGTTCTGTATGGGAAGTTTGCCCCAATTCTGCCATTGGTGGGGTTCAGAATGCAGATTGTAGGCAAGCTATAAATCCCAGTAACTGCAACTCCCAAATGTCAAGGTCTATTTCCCCCAAACTCCATCTGTGTTCATAGTTGGGCAAATGGAATATTCATGCCAAGTTTGGTCCAGATCCATCATTGTTTGAGTCCACTGTGCTCTCTGGATATCGGTGTACTACAACTCCCAAACTCAAGGTCAATGCCCACCAAACCCTTCTAATGTTTTCTGTTGGTCATGGGAGTCCTCTGTGCCTGGTTTGTTTCAACTCCGTCATTGATGGGGTTCAGAATGCTCTTTGATTGTAGGTTAACTATAAATCCYAGCAACTACAAATCCCAAATGACAAAGTCAATTTTTGAGTGATGGTCACTCCTTGGGTTAGTAGGTGTCTTGTGGCCAAATTTGGTGGCAATTCATCCAGTGGGTTGAGTTATGTTATCCCAAAAATGAACATTACATTTTTATTTATATAGCTACTAGCTGTTCYCTGCCACATGTTGCTGTGGCCCAGTCTGTGTATAGATTCTTTGTGTGTATGTATATGTGTTCATATTTGTGTTTGTATATATATATGTGGCTTTGCGCATGCATTGTAATTTTTTTTGGCTTTTTACGTCTCTTCTGCTGTGTTTTCCAGTGTTTTTATGAGTGATGGTCACTCATTGGCCTATAGGTGTATTGTTTAATACACCTATAGGTGTAATTTGGTGTCAATTTGTCCAGTGGTTTTTGAGTTATGTTAATCCCACAAACGAACATTACATTTTTATTTATATAGATTGTACTATACCACTATACTGCATTAGTAATATTACATGCAATATAAAATATATTATTATATTATTATATTGTATTATTAGTATTATATTGTATTGCAGAGTTCACCCAGCCCCGTCTCTTACCAGGAGACCAGTTTGACAAAGTGGTCATTGAGAGCAATGCCAGCAGCTGCATCAAAGATGGAAGAGTGGGCATCGCCGTTGAAGTCACAGGAGACAACCTTAGGGGAGAACAGAAGTGAGGATGCCAGAGTTAAAGTGTTTCACAGGAATGAACAACAATACAGCAGGCACTGGGCATTGATAAAAAGTTAAAGAAAAAGAGCAGACTAGGCGGCATAATGGCCAGAAGTTTCATTCCACAAAAAATACAAGAGAGCATTCTTTTGGAGATATACTCAGCTAATATTCTGTACCTTCAGAAATTGCTGCAAAGAGGTCTCTTGGCAATGCTTTATCATTGGAAGCAGGCAAAGTATTGCACTTGCAATATTGCTGAATTGCAACACCTAGTATCCTCACCCCTTAGATATGCTAGCTAGGCCTGATGGGACCTGGGAGTCCAACCTCTGGACAATTTCTACTGTTGATATTCATGGAGAATTCAGCTTACCTGGTCTTCTGTGTAGCCAAGGATACCCTTCATGGGCCCCTCAGAGGCAGCCTTTACAACTTTCTTAATGTCATCGTACTTGGCCTGTAAAGAGAAAAAAGAGACAAACAAAAGCATGGGAATGTGGTTCCTGAGTGTCATAGGTGATGGCTTGATGCAGTTGCTTTCCTCCTCCATTTCTCTAACCAGCTTTACTTTTTTGAGACTTAGGATTATTCCCGGACAGGCTCACCACAATATAAGCTGCCATGAAGGGCAATTCCCCCACAATCCACCTGCTGTGGCCTCTGAAGGAGAGAAGAGCAGCTGTTCTTATAGACTTAATTCTTTCTCCCAAATGCTCCCAAATGTCTCCTCTCATCATCTTCTGTCTCTTTTCTTAATCTGATTAAAACTGAGGGCACAGAACTATCCAACTAATTATTTTAAACTGCTCTGAAGATCAGGATATGAATAAATAAGTAACCAATCTGTGCTGGACATTCATGGCTCCTGACAGAGCTTGGAAAAGTTACATTTGGGGATGATAACTCCCAGATTTCCCCTGCTACAGTTTAGCCAGTAGGCATGCTGACTGAATCACTGTAGTTTTATTTAATAATTAAAAAAGGATTTTTTCCTAATTTCAAAACATTCCTCATATCTATTCCCAATCAATTCTCCCTGCACATCATTATTCACATAATGTTATATATAATATAGCACTGCCAGTTCTATAATACTAGTTATTCTAGTTTTATCAATTATATATAATTCTTGTAATATATTTTCTGTCCACCCAGATAATTTGGTGATTTGAATTCAGTTTTGCGCATGAAGCTAATAAATGACAGCCATCTATTATCAAATAGAACTTCTATTTCTTCTTTTGCTCATCTTTGCTTATAAGTTAGCTTTTTGGATAGTGCTATATATATATTAGATTTTATATTATGTTAGCTTGCCTTGTTTATTTTATTTTGCTACTGTATGTATTTTATTGTAATGTAATTTTTGTTGTTTGCATGTGTATTTTTTTTTTTGCTGTATTGTATCTTCAGGCTTGGCCTCATGTTAACTGCCCTGAGTCCCCTTTGGGGAGATAGTGGCAGGGTATAAATAAGGATTATCATTATTATTGTTATTTATAGCCCATAACCTATTTAACCATTTTTTTATTATGTGACTGTGGAGCAAAACAAACAACTCAGCACTGGTATGCTTGCCCACAATGCCCTGCCTCATGCACAGACAATGTGGTTGCTGTTGTCCATTTTTGGTCAAACATTATTTGTACACATGTGGCTCCAATTTCTCTAACATTGTTTGGGAATTGCATTATTAATTTTTATCTAGTTTAAGTGGGTAATTTGTGCATAATTTTCAAAGTATTTCCTCTCACTTGTGCTGAAACTGATTTATATGCTTGGGTTTTTTAGATGAAGTTCCATTGTTTCCCTTCCAACACAAACTCTAGATCCAGTTCCCATACAAATCTCAGTCTATTCTTGTGACCCTTTGGTTTGATTATATTTGTCGTTGCCAATTGATTCAAATAATGCTATGGATTACTGTAGTTGCAGTTCTAAAACGTAAGTTTTGGTTGCTATAATTTTTCTGAGTTGAGATAGAAAGATTGAGACACAGGCAAGATCGATGCACATTGCCAATATTTTCACACTGGGTGGGCAAGCTTTTTCTGGCAGGGTGATGGAAACAGGTTCTTGGTGCTACAAGGAGTGTATTCCCTACAACTGTGGGTCCAGATACTCACTGGTTTCTCCAAGCGGCATGTTAGGTCCACAACGGAAACATTTGGAGTTGGGACACGGAAAGCCATCCCTGTGAGTTTCCTGTGGATTTACAAGATGATATTGGTCACTGGGCAAATGTGCTTCTGCTCTTCCCCCCTCCAGCAGCTCTTATAAATCCTTTGCTGGGGAAAAGGGTGAACTTACCCGTTCAGTTCAGGAATGACCTTGCCGACAGCCTTGGCAGCGCCTGTGGATGCTGGGATGATGTTCTGAGAAGCTCCTCTGCCATCTCGCCACAGCTTTCCAGAGGGACCATCCACGGTCTTCTGTGTGGCTGTGATGGCATGGACGGTGGTCTGGAGCAGAGTGAGCAGAAGAATGAACTTCACATCACAAAGCACAAGGCACATATTTCGCATCAACAACCGTTTTAAAGCCTCAGCCCCTTTTCCGTGAAGTCACTGAATATGTGCAATATGTGGAAAGTCCTCCTAGCTTTAGTTCTTGAGGCTCCCCAGTAGAGCAATAGCCAAATATTTTGGTTTTGAAGGGGGCTTAAAGCAAGAAATCACAGATGATCTTTAATATAGGCACATAAACTTTTATCCTATGCCTTGTTCCTTAACTACAATTTGCACTATCCCATTCTCTTGTCTTGTTTACAGTTTGGCCATGCCTTATGGTAGTTGTCACCATAGGTCATTGGGCATTGTTATGAGTTTTAAACTTTGGTTTTTATGTGCTATAGTTTTTACTTTATTGTATTGTATTGGGTGTTTATTTTATGCTTTGTCTTGGCACGTTGTGCCATATGTAAGCCACCTTGAATCCTTTCAGGAAGATGGAGGTGGTGTACAAAAATAAAGTTTTTATCATTATTACTATTACGTATAGTTATTTATTTGTATTGTTTTACTGTGAGCAACTTTAAAAAATTGCTCCAAGCATACTTTTCTTATACCTCCATATAAATATTTCAATTCTAAGACACACCTTTTTCTATATAAACATCTCTAAAAATGGGTTGTATCTTAGAGTCGCAGTGTATCTTTTGTATTTTTATTGCTGGTGGTGGTACTGAAATTAGGATGTGTCTTACAACCAATGGCATCTTAAAATTTAAGAAATATACAGGCAGTCCTTAAGTTACAAACGTCTGACTTACAAGCGATTCAGTTGCAAACAGAGGAAGACAGTAGGAAGTGAGAGAAATCTACCCCTTGGAAAGGAAATTTAATTCCTGGAAGAGTTACCATGGGGAAAGGTGTCTCCACTGAAGATGTATCACCAATCCTTATTTCCATAACAAGACAATTTTCAAAGTCCAGTTATCACAGGGACAGAAAGTGAGGTGAAATCTTCTGAACAGGAGCACAGACAGCAAAAGAAACGCCACATGGGTGTTAACCTTTCCCTGTGCTATCCAAAATTAAAAACTGTATATTTTTGGCTGGAGTTAAAATGTGCCTGTTCTGACTTACAAATAAATTCAACTTAAGAACAAACCTACAGAACCTATATCCTGTTCATAATTTAGGGACTGCCTGTAGTAGTTTTTCAATGTTGGTCTTTGGAGGGAGGATTCTCACTTCCCATGCTAAATACTGCATTGCTACCTTGCCAGAATGGCCACTGGGCCGAGGAGTTACAAGTCTTCGGTTCACCTACCATAAGGCCTTCCACAATGCCATAGTTGTCATTGATGACCTTGGCCAAGGGAGCCAGGCAGTTGGTGGTGCAAGAAGCATTGCTGCAAGGAAATGCATAGGATTGTCAATAGCTGATCATCATACTCCTTCTCATTCCCTTACTCCAGAAACCTTCGAGCAAAACCCCACAAGACCCATATTAGTAGGATGGCCTGCATGATATCATTAGTCTCACTTGCATATTCACCTGACAATTTTCAGGGAGTTGTCGTATTTGTCATGATTGACACCCATCACAAACATGGGCGCATCGGCTGATGGGGCAGAGATGATAACACGCTTAGCACCCCCTTTGATGTGAGCCTAGAATGAGAACAAAAGCTTTAGCACTTTTCAAAATTTCAAGAGCACAAGACAAATTTGTCTGCAGTGGATTAGAGTACACATACACATATCCCAGGATTGTGTTTCCAATGTGGCTAACCAGATGTTTAGGGAAAGGGCATGAGCACACTTGAACTGGTACTGGAAGACCTGATACTACTGCCAGGAGCCACTATGGCTAATAGCCATTCACAGCCCGTCCAACATATTAATCACTTTTTAATGACATCTTTGGATTCATTCCCAGTACTACCAGCACTACACAGTAAATAACGTCCCTCTTCTCTGTTCAGATCTCCAGCCATTCAGTTTCACTGAAAAAAACTTTTCCTGACAGCTCTCATGCCATACATTATGCAGGAGGGGTTGTTTCAGGACACAGAGACAACCAGGGCATGCTGGTCCATGAAAAAGGGCCTGGTTTAACTATAGAGGCAGTAGAGCAGGAACCAATTTTTATTGTTGTTTTCTCACGCTTTCATGCCAATGTTTGGAAGCTTGTGGTTGTTGGAATTCAACTCCACATGCACAAGTCTCATCCTCAACGAGGAGCAGTTAGTTAGTTTAGTATATGCTGAGGGAATTCCCTTCCCCTGTGTCTCCTGAATGGCAATTTTAATGTATCAAATTTCTTCTCTCCTCTCCCTTTCTGTTCTCATTGTGATTTATTGTTTAAAATGGATATTTTTCTACTGTAAGCGTTTTAAAATTACTTTAGTTTTCTCACATTGTTGTATATGCTGTGTGCTTTGATATCTCTCTCTCTCTCTGTGTATCAGAGAGATGTAGTGATTGATGTTTTTCCCTCTCTTTGAAACCTTAGAGATGGGTGTTAGTAGCTCAGACCCAGTTCTTTACTATTAAGAAATGCAGTTATTGTTTCTGATTGTGGTAAATAAACCTTTTGTGATTTGTAAATATTGGACTCTGCATCTTTGCCTGCCTGAGCTCTTAACTCTTTACGGCCACATCACACGGCACTTCACACTCTGCAAGCTGTGAGCTGTTGTTCAACTTTCAGTATCCTGTTTGTATTTTGGATGCTCTGCTGTATTTTTTGGGTAATTTTCCCTAACAGTGGTCACATAGATATAGGCATATTGTGAAAGTCCTTGAGTTATTGCTAATAAGAAGGGGGGTTGTGACAGTAGTGTGAAGACTGTACACAAAGGTAAGAATGTGAACATGTGAATCAGGGCTAGCATTAGACTAGAGTTTTCCGAACTGTGTGTCATGGCATGTTTGTGTGTTGGATGAAGTGTGTAGGTGTGCCATGAAATGGAGCAAGAATCCTTTGAATCTATGTGAAATAAGCAATAAATCATATATTTTTTAAAATATAAATGAAAAGTTTCCATGAGAGACATTGTGTCCTCATACATTTTGTTGTTACAATTTATGTATTTGTATCTCTTATAAGGGATTGGTAACCTCTGGTTTGCTAGTAAAACTGAATTTACTGTGTCACAAAATGATGCATGTCTAAAAAGTATGTCAGCAACATGAAATGTTTGGAAAGTTCTGTATTAGACTCCTACATTCTTCACTGGATTGTATCAGAATGTGGAAATACAATTATTCAAACAACAATACCCAGAATCCCCCATTAGTATGGACAGTAGCTGTAATGGCTGGGAGGAACTCTCAGAGTTGTGAATCAAAAATGGAGTTTTCAAAGCTTTTAAGTGTGTCTTGTTGGACTTTAAACAAATGGATAATTATCACTGCATTTGACTATTCTGGCTTCTCTCACACTGAGGTTTATCTCACACTGCTCAGGATGACACTACGTTTGGCCCACTAACTCTAACATGCTTCAGTCTACTGACTGTCCTCAGGACACTAGCTTTGGTCTACTGACTCGGCTTCGGCCTACTCACTCTTACAGTACTTGACTCACATTTTTGTAATTAAAATACCTAGTTGGTTTTTTCTTAATATTTCTGACAGATCTAACAGAGTTTGTGTTCAAGTCTCCATCTTTAGCTTGAGTGAAGTAGCAGCATCAACAGATGACATAAATCCTTGTGTGTCAATCTACATTTGTTGCCTGTGTCTTCCCCGAAAGCAATCAAGTCCCACCCCATTCTCTCCAGGAACTCCAGATACTTACGCTGGCCTTCTCTATGGTGGTGAAGACGCCAGTGGACTCCACAACATAATCTGCACCAGCATCTGCCCACTTGATATTGGCAGGGTCACGCCTTACAAAGAAGAAGAAGAGAGAATTAAGAACCAATACATTTGTGGCAGTTTGGTCCTGCCCCCCCCTCCTCCTCCTCCCAAAAAGGTGCCTAAAACCAAAGCAATGTCACTTACTCTTGGAAGATTGTGATAGCATTTCCATTGATCACAAGTTTTCCATTCTCGGCTTTGACAGTGCCATTGAAACGGCCATGAGTGGAGTCATATTTAAACATGTAGACCTGAAAGCAATATGCTCAAAGTTAACTTTGTTCCTTATTATCGGATTCCACTGTGATTCTGTTCTCGCTTGTGTACCTTTCCTCTTTCAAATCCAACTTTTAACCCAAAAACGTACATGCATACACACAGAACTGCATGGAGAAAATATGAGAACTGAAATTACAATTTGGTACTGGTGTAGTTGGGAATAAAAGATGCAAAAGACAGCTACGATCATGGAAGACGCACAAAATAAAATCTAAATACTGTTCAAAAGTTTTAATTCATACACTCCTAGGCCTCTTTCACGTGGATGAATAAAATCTCACATTATCTATTTTGAACTGGGATATATGGCCGTGTGGACTCAGATAACCTAGTACAAAACTGATATTGTGGTATTTTCTACCTTGATATTCTGAGTTGTATTGCTGGGTGGAAGGACCCCTAGACACAAATGCACATAAGGATAATAGTATGGAAATATTTTAGAGTCACGGGGGTCTAATTATCCTAAAAGACACTTGATCATATCTGATTTTAAGAATCTAAGCAGGGTTGGCCCTGGTAAATATTTGGATGGGAGACTGCCAAGGGGTGCCTGGCTCTGCAAGCTATTATTTTGGAGAAAGGAAATGACAAACCACTTCTTGAGTACTCCTTACTGAACAAAGTCCTATGAAATTAATATAATCACAATAATTGAGTAGGCGACTTGAATGCAGGCACATATATACAACTTTGATGCCAAAAGGTGTATCGACTGATCACTTGATATGTGCAGCTAGAGAGTTTTCCAACTCCAATTCATTTATACCAGGATACCATGAATGCTTTGACCATATATCAGTTGGCTCAGACTGGACAAGGTTCAACTTTCCAAAATGTTTAGGGGCAAATGCCCTGCCACACCCAGCTCAGTAAGTTTGACAAAGCTGCTGGAAAACTCTATAAGGGAACAGATCCAATAATTTTCTGGGAGCATTTATTATTTTTATGTGTGAATTGTTCTAAACCAGTGGTTCTCAACCTGTGGGTCCCCAGTTGTTTTGACCTACAACTCCCAGAAAACCCAGCCAATTAGGATTTCTGGGACTTAAACGCCAAAATATTTGGGGACCCACAGGTTGAGAACCACTGTTGTAAACTGTCCTGAGCCTCTTCAGGGAGAGCGGGTGGGGTATACATAAAGTGTTGTTGTTATTGTTGTTGCAAGGCAAAATGAAGTCCAATTTTGTCCCACGTGTTCATCCTCATAGGAGACAATGAAAGGAGCTCACCATGTAGTTCAGGTCAATGAAGGGGTCATTGATTGCAGTAACCTGGACTTTTCCACTCATGCAGGCAGCCCTGGTGACCAGACGGCCAATACGGCCAAATCTAGAGAAATAAAGAAAATAAGATGGTCATAATCTCCAGAACGCAAAACAAAACCTTCTAATTGTTTACACAGTTCTGCAAGTGGGAGACAACTTGTAAAGCTATGGCAAAGACCAGACCAAGTAGTGGATCCAGCTGTAGATTCTGACCCCATTCGGGATAAAGCAAGGCAGATTTTGGCAGATTATCTGCCGAAGGGAGCAAAAATATCGGGCCAACCTCTTTCTTTTCCATCCCTTGAAGTAGAATTGGATACAACTCACAGCAGTGGTTCCCAAACTGTGGTCTATGGACCACCAGTGGTCCGCAAGAATGAAAATATGGTCCATGGCCTCACTATTACTACACTGTTGCCTCGAAACCATGCAGCAACAAGAGTGACTGATCTCTTGAAACCCTCTTATAGTGCCGAGGCAACAGGGATATCGGGAGTGGAGAGGCTGACTACCCACGAAATATTACTACTACCACATCAGCTCTAGATGATTAAATATGGTTTTCTGTGGGCGAGCAGATGGCAACTACTGGATGGTATATATTCTGTATCAGAAAGTAGAGCTGATGTGGTCTATCCAATGCAATTTTCTGAATCAGCACCCCAAATAACCAAACCGAATAGAAAGTTGACCAAAAACTGATTCGTAACCCTTTTGGTACTAATGTTGGAGAGTGTTCCCTGGTCAAAAAAAGGTTGGGAACCACTGACTTACAGGGAAACAAAGTGAAAGATGCACTGAAAGGCGTTCTTCTCACTTATTCCAAATGGGGCTTTCAGCCAAGACCTTCCCCTAAAGGATTGTGCCCTTCAAAACATCCAGGCCTTTATCTTGTCTCAGGCTAAGGCCCCTTCCACATTTTTAAGTATTTGTTTCTAAAAATAGCTATAATAGCTATCACCCACAAATGCAGATAACAGCTATTGGATTTACGTCATAGCTATGTGGTATGAAAACTAGCCAATTAGACTTGTAAAATAGCAAAGTTGGCAACACTGAGGCCGACACAATGAAAAAGATTTGCTGTCTTTGCAATGTATGCAATCTCTCGATACAAAGTTGACCAGTTTCACAGGATTGGGTGCCCAGTTAAGCTCCACTGCACGGTTGCAGTAATAATGATCCAGAATAAAAACCCCTATTATCTGCTTTGAATTGGGATATATAGCAGTGTGTACTGAGGCCCTTTCCACACAGCCCTAGATCCCAGAATATCAAGGCAGAAAATCCCACATTATCTGAGTGTGGACTCAGATAACCAAATTCAAAGCAGATTTCCCGCCTTGATATTCTGGGATACAGAGCTGTGTGGAAGGGCTCTAAGGTGGGCAAAGTGCAGTCCTCCAAGGGCCCTTCCACAGTTATATAACCCAGAATATCAAGGCAGGAAATCCTACAATATCTGCATTTAAAGGGTTTATCTGAGACCACACTGCCATATATTTCAATTTAAAGCAGATATCCCAGAATATCAAGGCAGAAAATCCCAGATTATCTACTTTGATCTGGAATATATGGCAGTGTAGACTCAGATAACCCAGTTCAGAGCAGATATTGTGGGATTTTTTACCTTGATAATTCTGGGGTACAGCGCTGTGTGGAACGGCCCTTAGATAATCCAGTTCAAAGCAGATATTGTGGAATTTTCTGCCTTGATATTGTGGGATATAGGGATGTGTGGAAGTGCCCTAAGGCTGTCTTTCACATAAAACCAGCCATCACTCACTGACTGCAGGCAGAGAAGAGGTTAAAAACCCTCACATTTGCAGGATGGCAACACTTTCAGAGCCCTACAATTGCAAGAAATTGAAAGTTTTGGGGGGACTAGGCACTATTTTTCCAAGGATGGTTTTGTGTCTGAATTCAAAGAGCTTCTTTGGATGACAAGTGAAATCTGACTATGCTTTTGATGGCCTTTCACGGCCTTCCTTTGAAAGACGAAACTCACCACTGCCAGATCTAAGGGGCAAGGCAACATGTGGGAAGGCTTGGATTTCCCCCACTAGATCAGTGTTAACATTTCTCTTGGCAGCAAGTGCATCTGCTTGTAAAGCTTCCCTGCAGGGCTGCTTTGAAGGTGCCTCACAGCCTTGCAACCGGAGATCCTGGAGACAGCAAGCTTGAGCTACATACATGCAAGGCATGCCTCCTGCCAGTGGTTTGTGGTGTGTGTGTATATGTGTTTGCAGGCGATGTTACTGGGAGCAGCATTGAGATACATGCCCTCCCTTTCCCGCAGCACCCTCTCAGGGAACCTTTCCCTTTGGCACCCGCAGCTCCTGCCACAGAAAGGTCAGGCACTAACTTTAGCTTCTCTCCCAGGCACCAGAGATGTGGCAGCCTGATCTGGTTACAGCTTTGAGTCTCCCGCACATCGCAAGCAGAAGGTCACACATTCTTGGGTGGACCTTTCCATAGGCTTTCTGGGATGGGGGAAGGAAGGAAGGAAGGAGAAAAAGTTCTCAAGTCTCTGCGGCTAGGGCTGCTTCCTGCCGGCTGTGACTCAGCAGCCCAGCTCCGGAAAGTCAGTAAGTAAATGAGTCACCAGCCCTTTTGCTCTTCTCCACGTGTTTTCCCTGCCCCAGAAGTAGGCAAAAGGAAATGGAGGGAGCCAGGAAGATGGGGACTAAAAGGTGGACCATTTGTGTAAGCGAGCAGCTGCTGCACAGGGCAAAAGGAGAAGAAGAAGAGGGCTTCTCTTGGAAGAAAACAGCTGCAGGGTCCCTTTGAGAGGGGGAGAGACACAGGAGGTGACCTTGAGATGTCCTTGTGAGGGACAGAAGGCAGCACTGTCTGCCGGCCAAGAACAGGAGGGAGGGAGGCTTCCCTATTGGCTGGGAAGGTCTCCAAGGGCTACCCCTCAGAGACAGACCTAAGAGGCCTAAGAGAGGGAGGGGCTTTCCCCCTGTCCATCCCAAGCCCTGCCCCTTTTCTGCCTGCCATGCACAGGCTGCCCTCCCGCACGTCGGCCTGCCTTTCCCCTTTCCCCACTCACCCGTTGACTCCGATTTTCACCATCTTGCTTTCTGGAAAAGGTGATTCTGGAGGAGGAGGAAAAAAGAGGAAAAGGGTTCAAACAAAGGATGATTCCCGACAGAGGTTTCCCTAAAATCTTGAGACAAAGGGCCCTTCCACAGAGCCCTATATCCCAGAATATCAAGGCAGAAAATCCCACATTATCTGAATAATCCAATTCCAAGAGGATATTGTGGGATTTTCTACCTTGATATTCTGGGTTATAGGGCTGTGTGGAAGTGCCCAAACCCTCCAAGGACTCCCTCTCTCCAAAGGCTCTTCCACACAGCCAGAATATCACAGGAAATCCCATATTATCTGAGTGTAGACTCAGATAATCCAGTTTCAAACAAATCTTGTGGGATATTCTGCCTTGATAGTCAGAGATATAGGGCTGTGTGGAAGGGCCCAAACTCTCCAAGGGCTCCCTTTCCCCAAAGGCTCTTCCACACAGCCCTATAACCCAGAATATCACAGGAAATCCCACATTATCTGAGTGTAGACTCAGATAATCCAGTTTCAAGCAGATCTTGTGGGATTTTCTGCCTTGATATTAATGGATATAGCGCTGTGTGGAAGGGACCAGACTATCCAAAGGCTCTTCCCCACAGCCCTATATCCCAGAATATCAAGGCAGGAAATCCCATAAGATCTCCTTCGAACTGGTTATCTGCGTCCACACTGCCACTCACCCGTTGACTCCAATTCTCACCATCAGTTCAAAGMAGAAAACGTGGGATTTCCTGCCTTGATATTCTGAATTATAGGGCTGTGTGGAAGMGCCTTTGGGGAGAGGGAGCCCTTGAAGAGTTTGGGCCCTTCCACCCAGCCTTATATCCCTATATTCTGCTGTGTGGAAGGGGCTCAAAAGATAAAACTTTCCCTAAAGTTAGAGAGGGGCTCTCTAGACGGGGAAACTTTGCAGCCACCGCCACGCCCCTATTCGGAGGCTCCTAGAGGGGAAATGAACCGACCCCACCCCTTCTAGAAGGAAGGAAGCCTCACTTCCTGGAAGGCGATCAGCCCCAACTGGGCGCCTGAAACTTGTTGCAACTTTGTCCTCGCGCTCTTGACTCAATCTAGGCACTGCCTGCCCTCCTTTTGGGGCCCCTCTTTCTTCTCAGGCCGTACCCCGACCCCTATCACTGTGCGAGCCCTGGCTTTGGGGGGATCCCTAGGAGGGTCCAGGCCTCCCTCCCTCTGGTTTCCCTGCTTCTCCCTTTGGCCTTACCCTTGGGATCCTGGCCGAACTCAGCTCTGCGGTGCAGTGAGGAGGTGAAGCAGGAAAGGGGCCCTCGTCTGGGGCCTTTATAGAGTTGGCTGAGGAAAAGGAGGGGCCCGGCTCTGCCGAATCAGGGCCCGAGGGCGCAGCCCCAAATCACGGCTCCAGCCTCCTCCCCGCCCCTTCTCGCCTTCCCTACCCCACACCCCTTTCCTGGCCCAAAGGCCCTCCTCCCGCCCTTCTCCCTCCTTCCCTCCCAGGCTCACCCCTTTCGCCCCACATCGCCCCGTTGTGTCTTCATAGAAAGGCAGCCTTCCCACTTCAGGGGCCTCCATGGGAGCCCCTTCTCCGAGACTGCCAAGGGGGGTAGACTAGGGGGACTTCATGGCTTGCCTTATTGCCCTTCGCCTCGGCTTAGCTCACCTCTTTGTCTACAAAATTGAAGTCAATAGTAAAGGTTTTCCCCTGATATTAAGTCCAGTCATGTCTGACTCTGGAGGTTGGTGCTCATCTCCATTTCTAAGCTGAAGAGCTGGCGTTGTCCATAGACACCTCCAAGGTCATGTGGCCAGCATGACTACATGGAGCGCCGTTACCTTCCCGCTGGAGTGGTATCTATTGATCTACTCACTGAAGAGCCGGCGTTGTCCATAGACACCTCCAAGGTCATGTGTCTGGCATGACTACATGGAGTGCCGTTACCTTCCCGCTAGAGTGGTACATATTGATCTACTCACTGAAGAGCTGGCGTTGTCCATAGACACCTCCAACGTCATGTGGCCAGCATGACTACATGGAGTGCCATTACCTTCCCACTGGAGTGGTACCAATTGATCTACTCACCAAAGAGCCGGCGTTGTCCATAGAAACGTCCAAAGGTCATGTGACCAGCATGACTACATGGAGCGCCGTTACCTTCCCGCTGGAGCTGTACCTATTGATCTACTCACATTTGCATATTTTCGAACAGGTAAACTGGCAGAAGCTGGGGCTGACAGCCAAAGCTCACACCGCTCCTCAGATTTGAACCTACAACCTTTTGGTCAACAAGCTCAGCAACTCAGCAGTTTAACCCACTGCACCACCGGGGGCTCCAGTTGGAGTCATAGAATCACAGAATCCTAGATTTGGAAGAGACCTCAGGAGCCATCCAATCCAACCTCTTGCCAAGAAGCAGGGAAATCGCATTCAAAGCACCCTTGACAGATGGCCACCCAGCCTCTGTTTAAAAGCCTCCAAAGAAGGAGCTGCTACTACCCTCCTAGGCAGAAAGTTCCACTGCTGAACAGCTCTCTGAGGTCTCTTCCGCACAACCCTGTATCCCAGAATATCAAAGCAGAAAATACCACATTATTTGAGTGTGCACTCAGGGCCTTTCCACACAGCCCTGTATCTCATAATATCAAAGCAGAAAATCCCATATTATCTGAGTGTGGACGCAGAGCTCTTCCACACAGCCCTATATCCCACAATATCAAAACAGAAAATACCACATAATCTGAGTTTGAACTCAGATAACCCAGGTCAAAGCAGATATTCTGGGATTTTCTACCTTGATACTCTGGGATATAGGCCTGTGTGGAAAGGTCCACTGTTAGGAAATTCTTCCTAATGTTCAGACGGAATCTCCTTTCCTGTAGTTTGAAACCATTGCTCCGCAACCTAGTCTCCAGGACAGCAGAGTCCGTCAAAAACTTCTCAGTTTGGCAGAATCAGATAAAGTATCTAGTCTTGTTAAAGAAAACAAATCGATATAAAGCATCCGATCCCAGATTATCTTCTAATCCCAGATTATCTGCCATAGGAGACTCATTTAATCCAGTTTAAAGCAGACAACCTGGGATCAGATCCTGGATATAGGACAGTGTGGAAAGGGCCTATATATGTAACATTCTTTTTGTTCCCGGGTTAAAAATGTAATTTTTCACTTGGTTCTATCCTAAGAACATGGAAAAGGCTTATGAAACTCCTAAAACATTGGGGGGGGGGGGGGACACACTGCATCACATTTTGCTCTAGGGCTCTTCCACACAGCCATATAACCCTGAATTATCAAGGCAGAAAATCCCACAATATCTGAGTGTGGACTCAGGGCCCTTCCACACAGCTCTATATCCCAGAATATCAAGGCAGGAAATCCCACAATATCTGCTTTGAACTGGGTTATCTGAGTCCACACCGCCATATATTCCAGTTCAAAGCAGAAAATGTTGGATTTTATTCAGCTGTCTGGAAGGGGCCCTGGTTTTTTCAATGAATACCTCATACAATCTCAACCAATTCAAGTTTGTGGCAGTTTTTGGAGTATAACAACTACTTTCAAAGGAAGTACCGCACAATGAAACAGGAAATAACCCTTTCGAACCTGAGACATTTTATCAAATTTTGTTACAAAATGTAACAATACTGTTACCTGCCTCTCCTTGTGGATACAGCAGGATGAAAACGGAGAGATGAAACACAACACTATTATAATACATATAACACAATGCATAGGAACCCCTGGTGGCGCAGCAAGTCAAACTGCTGAACTTCTGAACTTGCTGACTTAAAGGTCAGCAGTTCAAATCCAGTGATGGGATGAGCTCCCGCTGTTAGCCCCAGCGTCTGCCAACCTAGCAGTTTGAAAATATGCAAATGTGAGTAGATCAATAGGTACCATTTCAGCAGGAAGGGAATGACACTCCATGCAGTCATGCTGACCACATGACCTTGGAGGCATCTATGGACAACACCAACTCTTCAGCTTAGAAATGGAGATGAGCAACACTCCCCAGACTCAGACACAACTAGATTTAATGTCAAGGGGAAACCTTTACCTTTAACAGAATACACATGTAATAATCACAATAATAAATATATAGCTAATAATAAACACATAATAACTTAATAATAAATACCTACATAATAACAATAATAAATGGGTCTACACTGCTATATAATGCAGAGGCGCTACATTTCAGTACACTTCACTTTCTGAAGGAAACTTTTACACTTTGAGGCCTTCAGCATCAGCAAAAGAAGCCGAGGGCCAGGCATTTTTCCCACAACCCCTTCTTTTGTTAAAAACTCAACCAAGGGGAAGTCCTCCCATCCCTCCAAGAGTGATGTCAGCGGTTGCCAGGGTAACAAGTGGAAATTATTTGGGGGGTGGTGAGGTTGGAAGTAGTTCTCTTGACCTGCTCTATTAACTCTGCTATCTATTTATTGTGTCAGAAGCGAATTGAGGGTACAGTTATAATGTATTAAACAAAATACAAACAAAGTTAAAAACTTGATATCATACTAGATTTATTTTGACCAGAAGCTGGCCACTCGGAGTGCCTCTGGTGTTGCTGTAAGAAGGTCCTGCAATGTGTATGTGGCAGTGCTCAGGCTGCATTGTAGAATGTTTGCTTTTCTCCACACGCGCATGTTGTGGACTCCACTTTGTAGCCCCATTTCTTAAGACTGGCTTTGCATTTCGTAGTGCCAGAGCACAGCTTGCTCAGTGCCTTTCAAGTCGCCCAGTCTACTGTATGCCCGGGGGGGGGGGGGGGGGGGGGGGGAGTTTCTGATTCAGTTTCTGCCACTGATTGAGGTTTCGGGTTTTAGCCTGCCACTTTTGGACTCTTGAAGTATGGAACCCTGTGCAGACGGTCGGTCAATGTGCAGTCATTGAATTATTGACAGCATAGGTATCACCCCAAAGGAGATTGCAAGCTGTTTATGGTGATTGTATTGATGTGAGTACTGTACGTCGTTCGGTGAATAAGTTTAAAGATGTTGAGGTGGGAACATCTGACTTGCGTGACAAACAAAGAGTTGGACGTCCTGTGACAGCAACCACTGAGTTTCACAAGCAAAAGGTTGACAGATTGATTCAGGACGATCGTCGTATCACTCAGAGAGAAATTTCAAGCATAATCGGCATTTCACAAGAACGTGTGGGTCACATTATTGCTTTGCTTGGCTATCAGAAGATCTGTGCACAATGGGTACACAGCAGAACTTCAGAGACTGGCTCTCATCACTGTACGGCATCCTCCATACAGTCCAGATTTAGCACTGTCTGACTTCCATCTGTTCCTGATAATGAAAGAAGATTTGCGGGGACATCATTATGCTTCTGATGAAGACGTTGAGAGAACTGTGAGACGCTGGTTGAGGAAACAGAGTGTCGACTTCTTCCGTGACGGCTTCAGAAAACTTGTTCATCATTGGCAGAAATGTATCCATTTGTCTGGTGATTGGCTAGCATGGTGTAATTGTCGAAGGAATAAATAAACAATGGGTTGTTGTAGGTTCTTTTTCGGGCTTATATGGCCATGTTCTAGAGGCATTCTCTCCTGACGTTTCGCCTGCATCTATGGCAAGCATAGGATGCTTGCCATAGATGCAGGCAAAACGTCAGGAGAGAATGCCTCTAGAACATGGCCATAGAGCCCGAAAAAACCTACAGCAACCCAGTGAATAGTGGTAGTTAAAGAGCACATTCTAAGGATTATTTCTCCGTTTGATTTATTAAAATATTCCCAACCAAACCCAAGTAACGCAGGTGGAGGCATTACTTTTCATTCAACCCTCGTAGTATGAGTTCTAGTTGGGTTGTTGGGACATTAAGGGCCACTAATTGCATTGAAACTGATTTCCAATCAAAAGCACAAAGGTGCACTTAGCTTGAGAAAGCCATAAAAAGGCCATTTTGCCACCCAGTGAGCCCAACTTTGTCAAACTTTCCTCCCCGCAGGGGCTTGAGGCATTTCCTGGCTCCATGATGAGTTTCTTTTCATTGTGCCCATTGAGCAGGCCTCCCCTGGGTTTCCCCAACCTATTATGAGGCCTACTCCCCTCCCCCCAATAGGGACTGAGAGGGGCGCCCCGCCAGGCTTCTACTCATGGAACGTGACAGCGGAAGTCCCGCCTCCTCTTTCAGGTTGAGCCCCGCCCCCTCTGGAGGCTCTCCTTCTCTCCCCGGAGCCAGACCAAGGCAGTCCTTGGGAGCCCCGCGCGAGACGGGTCCTGCTTCCGCCTGGTGTCCTCGTGCCCTCGGGCACCACAGGAGTGGCCTCTTGCACGTCTCCTCTTGGGCCTCCGGGTGTTTGCACCAATGGCAGCCAGCTGCATCGTTTAGTAACCAAAATACTGCTTTCCATAGCCCTGCATTACCTTTAATCAATCTGCCCTCTGCAAAGGATTGTTTTCTTTTTGCGCCGTGCATGAAAAGTATCTCTTTGGATGAACAAAATCTGGCTACTATTATTTTAAAAAATTCTAAAATCAGGAAATAAAGAACAACATTCAGAAAACGGGAATTCCAGACAAGAAACAATCAGGGCCAGCTAACGCCTCCCAACAAGGGATCCCCCAGGCAGGAAGCAGCCAAGCTTGGAAGCTGCAAGGCAATTCAATGCTAATTAAGGTGGCCAATTGCAACATTCACCCTTGCCTCAAACAGACAAGAGCTCTTTCTCCAATCCTAGACATTCCATGGATATATAAATCTCACTTGCCTAGTTTTCAGCAGACCTTATTACCGTTGAGCATGGGGAATTCCAGACAGGAAACAATCAGGGCCAGCTAACACCTCCCAACGGAGCCCCCGGTGGCGCAGTGGGTTAAACCCCTGTGCCGGCAGGACTGAAAACCCGACAGGTCACAGGTTCGAATCCGGAGAGAGGTGGACAAGCTCCCTCTATCAGCTCCAGCTCCTCATGCGGGGACATGAGAGAAGCCTCCCACAAGGATGATAAAACATCTTGAGAAGCGACTTGTAGTTTCTCAAGTCACTCCTGACACGACACACAAACAACACCTCCTAACAAAGGATCCCCCAGGCAGCAACCAGCCAGACTTTGAAGCTGCAAGGCCATTCAATGCTAATCAAGGTGGCCAATTGCAACATTTACACTTGTCTCACACAGACAAGAGCTCTTTCTCTTACCCTGGACATTCCACAGATATATAAATGTCACTTGCCTAGTTTCCAACAGACCTCACAAGCTCTGAGGATGCCTGCCAGAGATGTGGGCAAAACTTAAGGAGAGAATGCTTGTGGAAGATGGCCATACAGCTGCTTTGAGTCTCCCTGTGGAGGTGAGAAGGGTGGGATATAAATGTAGTAAATAAATAAATAAATTAAATCACTGGAGTGAGTTGGCTGAAATTCAGACTCAGATTAGGAGTCTGTTTAACTTTATATAGATTGGGTATCTGATAGTAAATAAATAAATAAATAGATAGATAATAAAATTGCTGGGGTGAATTGGCTAAAGTTCAGATTCAGAGTCTGATTTACTTTATATAGATTGGGTATCCAATACTGACAAAGTTTAAGGAGCACTAGCACCATTCAGACTTGCTCTCCCTTAGAAGCAGTGAGATAATTTCAACTCAGAGGTGCCATTTTTGGTCTGCATGGCCAGTGCGATGTAGTGGTTTGAGCACTGAACTGTGACTCTGAAGATTAGGGTTCACATTCCCTCTTTAAAACAGAAACCCGCTGGGTAACCCTAGGCCCCCTCTACACAGCCATATAATCCAGATAATCAAATCAGATAATCCACATTATCTGTTTTGAACTGGATTATCTGAGTCTACAGTGCCATATAATCCAGTTCAAAGCAGATAATCTGGATTTTATATGGCAGTGTAGAAGAGGCCCCAATAATGTCACACTCTCTCAGCCTCAGAGGAAGGCAAAGGCAAACCATCTCTAAACCAATCTTGCAGAGAAAAGCCAGTGATGAATCCAAATAGGAAACTATCAGGAAACTATCAGGACATCAGGCAGGCCCCTTCGTTACTGGTGTTTCGGAGGAGGGTGAAGACGTGGCTCTACGAGCAGGCTTTCGGATAACCATGTAGTAACAACTAACTCAATAATGACGGCATCGGACAAGGAATGGAAAAAGGATCTTGAGATCGGAATCTGATTCTAAGTGTGGCGTTGATGATTATGTGTTTGTCTGTATTGTGTGTCTCATACATTGTTTAGTGTTGCTTTTTATTGTAAACCGCATTGAGTCGCCGCCTCAGGCTGATATATGCGGTATACAAATAGAGTAAATAAATAAATAATAAATAAATAAATAAACTATTTGAAGGCGTATGTACAACAAGAAAAAGAAGCTTGGCTAATGGAAATGCGGTACAGGCATGCAGAGCAACTCTGGCAGTGTTAGTCTGCTTTTGGGTAACAATCATTTTATGGAAGTGGTCTGTGTCTTCATTAAAACATATATTTTTTAAAGCCTTGCTACATTACTCTTGTTTTGCTTCAACTGACAAGGCTATGCTCTTGAAAAACAGCAACACTTCAGTAATTTTTTTAAATTTCTGAGGAGTCCAAACTAGTGCTTAAAATTAAAAGAGACTTTTCCGCCAAGATTAGCTTTTGATGATGATGATTATTATTATTATTATTGTCATTGTTATTATTATTGGCCCCCTGGTGGCACAGTGGGTTAAACCACTGAGCTGCTGAACTCGCTGACTGAAAGGTTGATGATTTGGATCCAGGGAGTGGAGTGAGCTCCCGTTGTTAGGCCCAGCTTCTGCCAACCAACAGTTTGAAAACATGCAAATGTGAGTAGATCAGTAGCTACCGCTTCTGCAATGCAATCATGCCAGCCACATGACCTTGGAGATGTCTACGGACAACGCTGGCTCTCCGGCTTAGAAATGAAGATGAGCACCACCCCCCAGAGTCAGAGTCAGACTTGACTAGACTTAATGTCAAGGAGAAACCTTTACCTATTATTATTATTATTACCCTGCTTTTCTCTCCAGAAGGCAACTCAAAGTTTCCCACACACAAAAAGTGCTGGTCTCTAACTGCCATCACCCCCTGCCAGCAGAACCAAGGGGCTGTTGTAGAGTATATATATTTGAATGGCCTGACATTTGGGGATATTGATCTATATATATAAAATGCTCCGTTCGTTTTGAGTGACATCATAACTCAAAAACTGTGGATTAATTGCCACAAAATTTGGCCACTAACCCAAGGAGTGACCATCACTTAAAAAAATGATTTTGTCATTTGGGAGTTGGAGTTGCTCAGATTTATAGTTAACCTACAATCAAAGAGCATTCCGAACTCCACTAATGATAGAATTGAACCAAACTTTGCACACAGAAGGGTTTGGTGGTTATTGACCTTCAGTTTGGGAGTTGTAGCTCACCTCCATCCAGAGACCACTGTGGACTCAAACAATGAAGGATCTAGCCCAAATTTTGTACGAATACTCAATACGTCCAAATATGAACACAGATGGAGCTTGGGGGGAAATAGACCTTGACATCTAGGAGTTGCAGTTACTTTATCTTCCAGATCACAAGACTGGGCCACAGCAACGAGTGGCAGAGGATGGCTAGTAATCTCTAAAACACATTTTAAAGGTGAGGAGTATTGTTTCCTGCAAAATAGTATGTTTCACATCTGGTTGATGACTATTTTTGAAAAAGCTAACTGGAACATGGGATCTAGAGTGATAATTGCTTGTTGCAGGCCTTGCTTTGTGCTCCATATTCTGACATCCATTTTTCCCAAATGTCAATTTTAAGCAATACACCTGGTCTCCCCATGTGTTATTTTGAGCAGTACTAGAGCATTTTATTAAGAAATCTATCATTAAAATATGTTAGTCTTTACAGTAAAACCCGCTGTTATTTTGCAAAACAGGATTGAAGGGCAGAGGAGTTTGCAAGGGGAGATGGAGGATACCAAGAGACTCTGAAGAAAGTTCATTTGGCTCAGGAGGTAATCCGATTCTATTCACCCAGCTGCTATTCCCACCAGTATTGAAGGACCAAGGCACTAAGTTTAGCCCTGACTGGGGTTATAACCTTTAAGGAAAGGCCAGGGGTATGATTTATAATTTGAAACCAAAAAGATGTTGAGTAGGATTCTGACAAACCAGGGCATATTGCTTCTGGACCACATTCAGTTTAGTACTAGGCCCCAGGCTGTTCAAGGTTAGTATAAACGAAAGTGAACAGAAAGCATAGAATGAGACAGTTGGAGCATTTGCACAACCAGAACCCTCTGTTTGATGAGCAAACAATTGCCAGCAAGGACTCTGTGCTGGGGACAGAGGACAAGATGAGAGAACAACACCAGTTGCTAAATGTTTCCCTAAGTTCACCAGGGCCTTGTTTACTCTGGTACTTTGTAAAGGGAATGGACAGCATTTATCTCAGGAGGACCACAATGGTCAGAGGCAAAGGAAACTGCCTTATACAGAGTCAGACCGTTAACACACTTATCTTACTACCTGAATGGAAATGTTCCTTTCTCATGCCTTCTAATGGATGCCAGGTAGTTAGTCTGGGTGTATGCTTTGCAGAGATGAGAGCCAGCTAGGTATGGATTTTGCTCATGCCTTAGACAGTGGTTCCCGACCTGTGGTCTATGGACCACCAGTGGTCCACAAGAACTAAAATATGGTCCATGGTCTTACCATTACTACACCATTGCAACGAGAGCGACTGGTCTCGTAAAACCCTCTTATAGTGTCGAGGCTTATTAAATGTTTTGTTTTTGGGTGTGGGCAAGCAGATAGTGACTACTGGATGGCATATGTTCTGTATTAGAAACTAGAGCCAAGCAATGTGGTCTATCCAATGCCTTTTTCTGAATCAGCACCCCAAATAACCAAACCAAATCTAAAGTTGACCAAAACCTGATTCATAACCCTTTTGGTACTAATGTTGCCGAGTGGTCTCTGGTCAAGTGGTCCCTGGTCAAAAAAAAGTTGGGAACCACTGTCTTAGCATACCCTATGGTGCAAAGAATGTAAAATTTGCTGCCCATTTACACTGGACCAGAGTCATCCACCAGAAGTCTAAGTACAACATCACTAAAACCTTCATATGGCAAATGGCCAGCCCATGTTGTTGTTCCTTTTCCATCTCCCTCAAATCCAAACATGCTCTTTGTCCTGATGACACACTTTTCTCTTTGTTCTAAAATGTACTCTAGAGTACAGAAACGTCATGGCCTATGTTATCACAATTTCCAACAACTGACTCATAAAATTTGGAGGTGTCCTGAAGATGATCTCACTCAGACTGGATTACAAAAAGGCAGGAAGGGATTTCTAACATTTGCTGCAACAAATCATCTCATCGCACTAGAGAATGAGTCCATTTTAAATCCAGTTGCTGCCTCCTGCAGAATTCTGGGATTTGTAGTTTGGGAAGGAGCCTTTAACAGCCTCACTATGATTCTGTCTTGCCCATCTATTCAACTTAATACTATTATGACTGATATAGAACATCCTGTGTCAGAAATGGTGTTGGGTTTGGAACTACCAAGAAAGGCACACTTCTCAAGTATAAAGATGTATTGCTGAACACCAAAATCAAGAAGTACTGAAGATAGCTGGGGAGAAGGATGGGCAGTTCCTTCAAAATGTGCTGGAGAAGAGACTACTGAAAAGGGGAATGAGTGGATTTGGAGCACTTCAATCCTGAACTCTCACTAAAAACTGAGGTTATCATACTTGAGCTGCATGACTTGTTGGAAAGGGTGAGAAAAGAGGAAGATCTGAGTAAAGTTTCACCCAAGGAAATTACAGCCCTGAGGGCCCTTCCAACTGGCCCTATACCCCAGGATCTGATCCCAGGTTTTCTTTTTATCTCAGATTATCTGGCAATGTGGACTCATATAATCCAGTTTAAAGCAGAAAACCTGGGATCAAATCCTGGCATACAGGGCCTGTTTGGAAGGGCCTTGAGTTTGCAGGCCCTGAGCACAAGATCTCTTAGGTCTCATTCATAGGGTTGCTGTAAGTCAAAGACAATTTGACAACGCCCAACTATAAAAGAGGGTTACAGTGTCTTATTGTCTAGATGAAATAACTGTTTCAGGTTCACACTTAAACTCTACTTCACAGTGTTTTCATTTGTTGAGAAACAGCTCAATTTCCCAACCAAACTGGATGTCATCTTTTGCAGCTCTGGCACACAATCATGTTTATGTGCCTTTGCGGAAGAGCAGGATTGGGAATGACCTTGTCACACTTCGTTGTAAATGAGTATCTCCTAGTTTGGTCAGACAGAAAGCCTTGTTTATGGCTGTTTATCTCTATTTCCCCAAGTAAATGCTATTAACGACATCTTGTCTTGGCTTCACTTTGTCATCTCTACTTTGTTTATAAAAATCATGCAATAAAAAGCCCTTTTTATAGCTGCCTTCCACCTAGAAACCGGTGCCCGCACTGTGGGAGAAGATGCAGATCAAGAATAGGGCTCCACAGCCACCTACGGACCCACCGCCAGGTCACTACACTTGGAGGTCCATCATCCTCGGACTATGAGGGATTGCCTAAGAGAAGAGATAAGAAGAACATCTCCAGCAGGTAGCTGTCTAGCCTTTTTCTGAAAACTTTCCAAGAAGGGTGTCGAACTTATTTTCAAGGGCCACATCAGTCTTACGGTTGCCTTCAAAGGGCTGCTGAATCCAGATACAGAGGGCCAATTATAATATTTTTACATAGTAGTCGGTGCTCTTTAGTTTTTACCGTTTGGGTCTTCAAAGGTTATTGAACAATTGATTATTCACTATGTGGACTGCGGATAATGGGAACTGCAGCATAACTTTTATGTTCCAGTTGCCTATGATGAACAAATCCTGTTTAGGAGAACATTCAATTCCCTCCTCAGCTCCAGCATAGAATCTTTTGGTTACTTCTTCTGCCTCTGTAGTTGAAGCCTAAACATAGATTATGGCTATATTTAAGTTTTCCCTGTAATCTTATAGATAGTATTCAGTTAAATATTCAGGGCATTCTGGTCCAAATGGTATTACTTGGTGTTAATGACTTTCACCTGTCAGAGAATGGAGGCAACATTCAGAAAGTACTTAGCACCATTCTATTGCCCAAATAACAAAGGAAAATGATTTGGGAAAGATGTCTGCGAGAAGGCACTCAGGAGAGAGTGGTATCATGTCTGAGCTTGTTGTCTCTGCAGCCAGGAATGAAGAGAGAGGAAACTGAAATCCAAAGCAAGTATATAAAACAGGGTGTGAGAGGTCTGTCCCATTAGATATTGTGCTGCAGCCTTTCCTGGTTATTAGGCCTGTTGGCTGGGACCAGCAGGATGAGAGTCCAGCAGTGTCTCAAAGGCTACAGACCACTATTATAATGCAAACAAAAAGATGAATAAAGACGGTCAAACCAGCCGTCTTCCTGAATATGTCAGCTTACCTGGCATTTTCATAGCCAGAGTATACCTGCACCAAGATGGTATAAGCATGATTGTTTTGCATATGGGATAGCCAACTCCTCCTGCCCCCTTTCCATGTCTTGCCGCTGGCTACAGCAGTGAAAGGGTAACTTACTTTATCCTAGTGGCACGGTCAACCTCCTTCCATGTCTTATGATTCATGAAGGAGGAGAGGAGGAAAAGGGGGCTCAGGGCATCCCTATTGGGCCACACTCCCCCTCGATGGACTGTCACCTTGTCGTGGTGAGGGGGCTTGCGCGTTCCGATGAACCTGTAGGCAC